TTCTGAACCCCTCATTTTAGCTACTTGGCAAACTTTGTGGATGCATGTAATTGAACTACAAAAGGTTGAAGGCAGTCAAAGGCATGTGGAGAGGGGTGTAAGAGGAATAACAGGGAAAGATCTTAGAGAAAAGGTATGGGATCTTAAGACATGATGTGAGGATGGACAAGAACTTGAGTACAGGATGTTGGTATAGAGAAGGTAGAATCAAGGCAGCTGAGGATGACTGCTCAAAACTCCCAGACCAGGACTGACTCCACAAGGTGATCCCATGAGACTGTGGTCTTCAGAGACCTTAGCTTGGATGTCAGGACAGATTTCAGCTCTACCTAGGCTAGTCTTGTGAGCACTAACTGTATGTACCAACGGTCACATAGTTACATGGGTCCCTAGAAGATAACGGGCTTGACAAATCCAGTGGTCACACGCTGACATTCGGGATGAGCGTGAGCCACAGTCTTTCCCACTTTATTTATTTATTTATTTTTTTTTTTTGAGACGGAGTCTCGCTGTGTCGCCCAGGCTGGAGTGCAGTGGCCGGATCTCAGCTCACTGCAAGCTCTGCCTCCCGGGTTTTTACGCCATTCTCCTGCCTCAGCCTCCCGAGTAGCCGGGACTACAGGCGCCCGCCACCTCGCCTGGCTAGTTTTTTTATATTTTTTTAGTAGAGACGGGGTTTCACCGTGTTAGCCAGGATGGTCTCGAACTCCTGACCTCGTGATCCGCCCGTCTCGGCCTCCCAAAGTGCTGGGATTACAGGCTTGAGCCACCGCGCCCGGCCCTTTCCCACTTTATTAATTTACTTTGGTGAGTTCAGTGTACAGTTTAGTAACAGGCTATACTTGTGTGCTGGATATAGTTACAGGATATAACAGCAGCTTATCAGGGACAGAGGCAGGGATAGGCTGAGGGCTGCTCTCCCATCAAAGTGTGAAGACACACTGCCTTGCCTCTTTTCCAAAGCCAGGTCCAGTATGTCTAGCTGCTGTTTCAAAGCCAGATATCATGGCAAGGAGATGGTGATGACAGAGCTGCTGTGACTTATCTGCAACTACAGACAGAACATCCACTTTGTAATTGCTGGTCAGTCAAGCAAGATCTTGGCCACGGAGGAGAGCCCTCATATTTCTTGAGGGTCAAATTGAATCTACATAATCTTCCTCAGCAAGTGACATACAGTTCCAAATTTCTGCTGTTGTCAACAGGTAGAACCCAGATTCTGGCTTCTTAAGCATATTAGCCTCCAAGCTCCAGCACAAGAAAAACAAAGGAGGCCACAAGACCCCTGAGGAAGTGTGCAGGGTATTGGAGATCTTAAATTTGTTTTCCTGCACAATACCTGCATTATCCAGCTCTTTTTTCCTCACCTCCTTTTGGCAGAATTAAATCTTCTTCAATGGGTGAGGCTGCTAAACAGGGCCTCAGGGAACTGGAGGTACATAGGTCTGAGGGTCTGTTTTATGGACTTGGGTCTTTTCTTATGGCACCTAAGAACTAGGAGATATGTGATTTAGCTCTGATTTGAGTAGCCCACGTTCCTCGTACTATACTGTGGACCCTAAGTCCAAGTCCCAGGCTGTGCTATTGATGCATCAGGTTCTATTCTGGAGATGGCTGTGGCACATGAAGGACAGAAGAGCTTGAAGCTCAATGAGCAGGCACACCCATGAGGCTCTGAATGGGAACTCCTGCCACAGGCACAATTGGGAGCCTGGGGGCGGGGATAAACTGAGCCAGCATAGGCTAGTCAACCTAGGGAGAGATTTCAGCAGTGCCTTGTGAAGATGTACAACCTGACTGGGCTAAAATCTAGCAGCTGTCACTTGCTAGGCAATAGGAGATTAGCACATAGAGGTTTTCTAGTCTAATTTTACTTCCCTCAGAGAGTCCTAGCTCTTGAATAGAAGAAAACCATACCTAAAAAACTAGATTTACCTTGAAGATAAAATATAATACAGAGAGAAAAATAAGGATACCAAGGATAAAACTTTGAAAGAGAGTGAGCCTCGGTTCTCCTGCTATACCCTACAAAGACACCATACCCCTCAATTTATGGTTTACAGAGATCTCCAAGCCCTCCCACCGCAGTGTGGGCAGACCCGGTTCTTCAATGTTCTTAAAATATTATTCATTCCTAAGCTCCCCCAGAATCCCCAGCAGACATCTCAACTCTTCAAACTTCTCTGCGATAGCTTTACCATAGGTAGGCTGGTGCCACATGGAAACTACACTTAAAAACTCAAGGTACGGTCCTTTTTCTTTTACCTACTACCTCCTACTCCTTTCTTTTTATTTTTTATCCCAAAGCAACCTGGGCTGTTGTTTTCTAGGCCCAAGCACTAGGTTAGTAGTAACATAAAGCAAATGTCAGGAGCACAAGAGCCATACAAAATACATATAATGGCAGGAGAAAGAAATATGAAGATGGGAAACTATATACTCAAGACTAACATCCATATAAGTAGGCTTAGGAGCTGGGAACTGCAGCACTGCTCTAAAAGAGGAACAAACTAGTTATCCACATCCACCCCAACAAAAGAGTTGGAGAAAAAACAGAAAGATCAAAGTTATATAAGCTGAGGAATTGGGGGTATTGGGGAAGAGAAGAAATGGAATCAATCTAGGAAACACTATTCCCATTCTAAGAAGGGGAACCATCATATCTGTACACAGCCTGGCAATCATGTAATAGGAAAAGGAGAGGTTTTGATGGTGTTTTGGTGGTGATGCTGACAAAAGTGATGACGGTGATTATGGAAGTAAGACCCTGAGTTGCCACAGGGATGGGGAAGCCAAGCTGCAGCCAAGACTAAGGCTGTCACAAGGAAACCATCCCAGGAGGGACACTTAGTGAGTGGCTCAGAGACAGCAGGGTGTCAACTCAGTGGAAGGAGAGGCAAAGTCAGTGTCAAAACTCAGAGTCAAGTGTCTAGAGGTGACATGATGAGGAGGAATGACACTGAGTCAGAAGCAAACGTACTGTTAGTCGGATGCTTTGCAAACGATACAGAAAATTGTTTTATGGTCGGGACAAACAAGAGTTCTGGGGAGAAAAGACATCATGGGGATTATACCCACCCTTGTCCCCACGCTCTGCTCTGGAGTTTGCCCACAAGATAGTCTGTCATTTTATTTTATTTTATTTGTTTATTTATTTTGAGACGGAGTCTCACTCTGTCGCCCAGGCTGGAGTGCAGTGGTGCAATCTCGGCTCACTGCAAGCTTCGCCTCCCAGGTTCATGCCATTCTCCTGCCTAAGCCTCCTGAGGAGCTGGGACTACAGGCACCCGCCACCACGCTCAGCTAATTTTTTGTATTTTTAGTAGAGACGGGATTTCACCGTGACAGCCAGAATGGTCTCGATCTCCTGACCTCATGATCCACCCACCTCGGCCTACCAAACTGCTGGGATTACAGGCATAAGCCACCGCGCCTGGCCAGATATTCTTTACTTTAAAGTTAGTTATCTGACCTGCTCCCCCCATCTCTTGGATTTCTAACTAACACATGTCAATCTCTTTTCCTTTGGTAAATCTCTTAGGAATCTATGTGTCATCTCTACTACAATACACCCCTAAAAACAACCCTAATTTTACCACTGTGTCCTCTTTCTGGTCATTTGGAAATAAAATCTTCATAGAAATATTATCCCTTCCCACAGTCTCTTTCCATATTACCATTTCTGCCTTAGCTGAGCAACATTCCCTTCCCTAAACCCAATTTGCTAGATTTTAATTGAGGTTCCACTACATTCTTCCCAACCATGCATCATCCTCCTTGGTCCTTACCCCTACAGGCCAGAATCCAGGAAAGAGTACAAACTGATGCAGCAGGACTGTATGTGGGAGATTATGAAGGGATAAGCATAAAAAAGTAGTATTTTTATGGCAAGAGGGAATGCAAATGGAGGGGTAGAAGGGGTCCTGGTTCTTTCTCCCATCTATTACTGATGAAGAAAACTTGTTATAAGTTATAAGGCCAGTGTCATCTTTTTTTTTTCTTTTTTGAGACGGAGTCTCGCTCTGTCGCCCAGGCTGGAGTGCAGTGGCCGGATCTCAGCTCATTGCAAGCTCCGCCTCCCGGGTTCCCGCCATTCTCCTGGCTCAGCCTCCCGAGTAGCTGGGACTACAGGCGCCCGCCACCTCGCCCGGCTAGTTTTTTTGTATTTTTTTTTTTTTTTTTTTTGAGACGGAGTCTCGCTCTGTCACCCAGGCTGGAGTGCAGTGGCCGGATCTCAGCTCACTGCAAGCTCCGCCTCCCGGGTTCACGCCATTCTCCTGCCTCAGCCTCCCGAGTAGCTGGGACTACAGGCGCCTGCCACCTCGCCCGGCTAAGTTTTTGTATTTTTAGTAGAGACGGGGTTTCACTATGTTACCCAGGATGGTCTCGATCTCCTGACCTCGTGATCCGCCCGTCTCGGCCTCCCAAAGTGCTGGGATTACAGGCTTGAGCCACCGCGCCCGGCCTGTTTTTTTGTATTTTTTTTTAGTGGAGACAGGGTTTCACCATATTAGCCAGGATGGTCTCAATCTCCCGACCTCGTGATCCGCCCGTCTCGGCCTCCCAAAGTGCTGGGATTACAGGCTTGAGCCACCGCGCCCGGCCTTTTTTTTTTTTTTTTTTGAGACTGAGTCTCCCTCTGTCACCCAGGCTGGAGAGTGCAGTGACACAATCTCAGCTCACTGCAGCCTCCGCCTCCCAGGTTCAAGCGATTCTGCTGCCTCAGCCTCCCAAGTAGCTGGGATTACAGGTGCACGCCAGCACACCCAGCTAATTTTTCTATTTTTAGTAGAGACGGGGTTTCACCATGTTGGCCAGGCTGGTCTTGAACTCCTGACCTAGTGATCCGCCTGCCTTGGCCTCCCAAAGTGCTGGGATTACAGGCATGAGCCACCGTGCCCGCAGGCCAGTGTCTTCTTAAGCATGAATAGGTCTTGAGCTATGTCCTTGCTGAGAGACAAGTGAAAAAAGGAGTTATCCCCCAAAACCCACCCACATACCATCTCGGTGCTTCAGACTGGCAGGTGGTAGCTTTTTGCCATGGCTGTGGGCGTAGTCCTGAAGATTCGGGGTGCTGGAGGAGCCACCCAGCACTGTGTGCTGAACAGCCCTGTGCACTGTGAGCCTGCAAGGCTGGGAGTGTGTTAGTAGTCACGTAAAGCCACAACTATCACACAGAACTATACACAACTTCACATGATAACATCAAGACACACACAGCCATTCAGAGCCACCACCATGTGGCCATTCCACATAACCACAAATGGCTTTACACTTCTGCATAGTCACAGTGGGCAAGCAAAAGGGGAATTCTTCTGAAGAGCTACATGGCAGAGACAAGAGGCCACTACAAATGCAGGGTTAGTCATGTTAGGGGATTCAACACACTGAAAGGGATAGACTGTGCTCTCCAGGTGGCTCTCAGAAATGCTCAAATTATAGGTAGGTCCCTCTAGATTCCCCCTAGATTTAATTGGGCACCCCTTACCCTGGATATATAGCTTAAGAAACTCAGAAATCTAGTCCTTGTAGGTTTGAAAGGAAAAGCCTTTGACTGAAGCTAGAGACTGATTCTGAACACTCAGCTGGCACCCTTCCGATCCTTCCTAAGCTTTTCATCCAACATCCCCTCCCTTCAGGCCTTTTTACCTTTCCCAAGAATGAAAGTATGAGGCTCATAATTTTTTTCTTTTTTTAAGACAGGATCTAACTCTGTTGCCCAGGCTAGAGTGCAGTGGCACAATCATAGCACGCTGCAGCCTTTGTCTCCCAGGCTCAAGTGATCCTCCCACCTCAGCTTCCCAAGTAGATGAGATTTCCAGCACATGCCACCTTGCCTGGACAATTTTTTTATTTTTCGTAGAAACGAGGTCTCACTATGTTGCCCAGTTGGTCTCTAACTCCTGAGCTCAAGTGACCCTCCCACCTTGGCCGCCCATAATGCTGGGATTAAAGGTGTGAGCAACAACCCCCCACCTCAATGAATGTTTTAAGCTAGAAGGGACTCAGAGATCATCCAGTTCAACTTTCTTATTTTAGAGATGAAGAAACTGAGATCCAAAAGGGACCTCTTTTGCTCAAAATCACACAGTTCTTTAGCAGCTAAGCTGGACTAGAATCCAGGTCTCCTGACTCTGAGGACCAACTGTATTGTTAGAAAATAAATAACTATTTTTCAGGAACCAGCACAGTTTCTGAAAATAACATGGACAGAAATTGAAGGGCATGTGAAGAATCAGTTGATTATATGTAAAGCATGCCCATTATGTGATGAGCACCCTACTAAGAAGGAATACAGGAAATAACAACAAAAAGGTATGTTTTTTCTGCTCTCAAAAGTGTATTATCTCATAAGCCTATGCTCAAAGCCAGTTGCCCACACATATAAATTCAAAGAAAGCAAAGAGAACTCCATTGCCAATGAGAGGATTAAATAAAATTTGAATAATCTCTGAAGTATGGAATAAATCAGACCAGTCACTGTCTCCAACATTTGATCTAGAGGAGGGTTAGGACTCCACGGTCCCTTCTCCTACTACAGCCTATAAGGACAGAGTGGTCAAGAGGAAACAAGACTGACACCCAAGTTCTCAGGATTTGCCTCCCTATTTCCAAATCCATCTTAGCCAAGACCCTGGATTTGGCTTGTGACTTAACATTCATAGGGTTTCCCTATGGATGGAGTGGAAAGGAGTTCAATTCCCTTGAGGCCACCAAGAAGGGACCATGGTTTCAGGGGTCCCAGGATTTCGGGGTCACCAGAGCAATCAGGAAGTTCAGATGGCTGATGATTCCGACCCAGGAATTCAGGACCTCTCCTCTATACAGCAACTTCCTCCACCTTTCATGTTCAAACAGGCTCTGGAATGAGATTCCAGAGAGTAATAACAGTTGCTAAATGAGACTGCTTTTCTTCAGCAAAGCTAAAACTAGCTGGCTCTATCCCAGACCACCCTAAGTTTTTTTTTTTTTTTTTTTTGAGATGGAGTCTCGCTCTGTCGCCCAGGCTGGAGTGCACTGGCCGGATCTCAGCTCACTGCAAGCTCCGCCTCCCGGGTTTACACCATTCTCCTGCCTCAGCCTCCCGAGTAGCTGGGACTACAGGCGCCCGCCACCTCGCCCGGCTAAGTTTTTGTATTTTTTTTAGTAGAGACGGGGTTTCACCGTGTCAGCCAGGATGGTCTCGATCTCCTGACCTCGTGATCCGCCCGTCTCGGCCTCCCAAAGTGCTGGGATTACAGGCTTGAGCCACCGCGCCCGGCCTGACCACCCTAAGTTTTGTCCTACAAACATTTCCTCCACTGAATACTTTTCTGGTACAGTCGTGCCAACTCTGTTCTGCCCAGTCCTCAGATCATCTTAGAGGGTGGTCTCTACCTTACCACCACCATCTGCCAACCAGTTCCATACTTCTGCCTTGTTCTTTAAAGCATTCCCATGGCCCACTTAACTGGGCCAGACACACCTATCCTCTTTTCTAGTCTGTCTGGAACCTATTCTTTACTGGGACTTCTGGGAAGAGAGGCCCATGTCATAGATCTACACTATTGTTGTTTTCTTTTTTGGTTTTTGGTTTTTTCTTTTTCTTTTTTTTTTTTTTTTTGAGACAGAGTGTCACTCTGGCACCCAGGCTAGAGTACGCTGGCACAATCTCAGCTCACTGCAACTTCCATCTTCTGGGTTCAAGAAATTCTCGTGTCTCAACCTCCCAGTAGCTGGGATTACAGGCATGCGTCACCATGCTCAGCTAATTTTTGTATTTTAAGTAGAGATGGGGTTTCACTATGTTGGCCAGGCCAGCCTCGGAACTCCTGACCTCAAGTGATCTGCCTTCCTCGGCCTCCCAAAGTGCTGGAATTATAGGCATGAGCCACTGTGCCTGGCCAGATCTACATACTTATCATTTATTTCTCCTGCCCCAAACCATCTTTCTCATTTCAGGAATGTAGAAGGCAACTTATTCTCATAAAATTAGCCTGGAAAGTTACCAAAACCTTTCTCCCTCTTGCTAGTCCAAAAGCTGACCATTTTGGGGCCAAGAAAATGGGTGCCAAGGACGAAAGCAACAGAAAAATTAGAGGCGCTAAAGAGAATGATAGGACAAGATAGAAAGAGCAAGGGGACCAAGTCCAGACCCCACACAATCATGTCTGACCTCCAGTTCTAGTTACTGGCTCACAAGGCACTGTGCTCAGAGATAGTTCCTCCCAAGGACCGCCCCCCACCCAAAGAATACAATACCCTCTGAGGCTTGGTCCTTCCTGCCGTCTGTGCTCTCACAAAAAGTTGAATGATATTCTCTACCCCTTTCCAGGGATCCAAAAATCAAGAGACATTTCCTCAAAGTCCTGAGAGATGCCTCTGCCACTACACCAGTCTCAGACTTGTCAATTTTCCAGAAGGAAGGGGAAAAAGTTACAGGATTAGGTGATGATGGAGGAAAGGGCAAGGTGGTAGGAAGGGTAACAGCGGGGATGTGAAAAACACAGGTTTCAGAGGAAGACATGGCACAATTCTTCAAATGAGGAATACATTTACGAGGGTTGCAAGTACCTCTATTTATAGCTCTGTCTCTGATAACTCTGAAGGTTCAGAGTCTCCATGGCCCCTTAAGGTCTGGGCTAGACTGGAGGGACAGATAAGGAATGAGAGGGAAAGCCAGAAAAATGTCCTTTGGCCAGGGAAATGTGATTGGTATAGAAAACCAAGAGATAAACACCTTTCTGGGATGGAACAATCATCTGAGATCCAAGTTCACATCTAACTATGGCTTTACCCACTTCATCCTCCCTACCCCCACCTGATGATATTCCACTGACTGGATGGCTCGAAACCCCATGACAAAAGTTTCCCACAATAAAACTCTGAAGAACAGACAGACAGCTTTTCCAACAATAGGTGAGAAATGCTGGTGAAGCCATACCTAAGCCACTCTGCTTCATTTCTGTGGGTGGCCGTGAAGATGAAAAGAGCCGGTAGCCACCAGGCCTTGAGGATGAAGTCTCAGAAAGTACCTGCAGAAAAAGGACTCTATAATTAATCATTTTGCCACCTCAACCCTAAAGTTTTATACTTATCCTGGATTCCTGTCCCTACAAAGCTAATCAATATTAGAAAGTTTGCAAGAACCAAAGGATTTATAGGAGAAGAGGGATGAAAAGGGAAAAGAAAATGCACTTTATGGAGGGAACTGTCTGAGGCATCTTTCTATACTAGAAGCCACTTCTATTTTCAACATCCCTTTCCCCAGAGCCCTCCCATTCCCAATCTGAGTTTGAGAAATCATTATTCGACCCATTCCTAGTTCTCAGCAGAGCGGTTTCCTAATCGTATCCATCCCCCCACAAGACTCAGAAAGCCAATCACAATGGCTCAGCCACAAATAAGAAAGTCTGGCCACCCTCTCTTCTTTCCATGGAACAGCTGTGGCTACTGAAACCGTACTACATTTCTTGTTCGAACCAAGCAGCCCTCCCCTCCAACTATCTCACCCCTAGAAACATGAAACAGAATTCTTACAATGCCCACAAGGGCCCAATCACACAAACCCCAATACACACACATCCCACCTAGATAGTGTCTGAGTCCCTAGATCCCAAAAGGCAAAGACAGAAGGTAAAACAGGAAGGTGAGGTAGGGAGGGACACCTGTGTGCAGGATGCCAGGTGAGTGGTGGACACAGCCCAGGGCTGTAGGCCGATGGCTGGGGAAGGCCAGGGGAGGTCTCCCGACCTCCTGCAGCACCGTCCCCGAGAGGGGATGAGGTCCAGGTTCCCCGTGCACTGCATGTTCATGACCTGCAATCAGACCGGGTGGAAAGCCAGTCATGGCTCCTTTAAACCCCAGGATCCCAAAAGTCCCAGTGCCCATAGGGCAGAGCTAATTACAGGGCTAGAGAGGATGACCAGCTAGGGCATAGCTGCTATGAAGGTCATAAGTTTTATAATCTAAAATAGTTAAAAAGTATGAGATGACAAGAGGAGAAGAAGGGATGGAGGGAAGGACAAGTTGTATGCCTATATTTATAGAGCAAGGAAGATAAACATTAATATTAGTATTATAAGACTTTGTGACCAAGGAGCAGAGAGATGATTTTCTTGCAAAGCTGAGGAAAATATCCTGGACAACCATCACCCTGGATAAGCCAGGGTCTAAGCAGCACTAGTAATTGGAATGTGATTACAATAGGAAGCTTCCTATAGGCCTGAAAGAAAGAAGTCAATTTTATCAAGTCTGAGAGATGATATACTGATTGCTTTCCTTTGCCTGTGCCTGGTTTTTTTTTTAATTTTTTTTTTTTTTAATTTTTTTTGTAGAGACAGGATCTTGCCCTGTTGCCCAGGCTGGTTTTGAACTCCTGACCTCAAATGATTATCCCTCTTAGGCCTCCCAAAGTGTTGGGATTCATCCTCCCAGGAATTCAGGGTCTTGTCCCACTCCGGGGCTGACCTGTTATAGCTTCCTTTCAACTATATATTGTCTCTTACAGGATCCTCATTCCCTCATCTCTACCATTTGTGATTTCACCATTGCACGTGACTTTTGAATTTCCAGCTTTACAACCCTTCCCATCACCTTCCACAATAACTCAGTTTGGCTATGGTGCATATAGCACAACATTTAAAGGTATCTTCAAGGCCAGGAGCAGTAGCTCACACCTGTAATCCTAGCACTTTGGGAGACTGGAGCAGGCAGATGACTTGAGTCCATGAGTTCGAGACCAGCCTGGGTGACATGTTGAGACCCTATCTCCACAAAAAATACAAAAAATTAGCCAGGCATGGTGGCACATGTCTGTCATCCCAGCTACTCGGGAGGTTGATGTGAGAGGATCACATGAGCCCAGGAGGCAGAGGTTGCAAGGCTGCAGTGAGCTCAGATTGCAGCCCCGCACTCCAGCCTGGGTGACAGAGTGAGACCTTGTCTCAAAAAAAAAAAAAAAAAAAAAAAAGGATCATTGTGGAGCCATATGCAGAAGGTATATGTATAACCATGTTTAAGGAAATAAGACTTATAACATTGTCCCAAATTCCATACTCTTCCTAATGCCAGAGCTGTGTTCTAGGTGATCTCTCTGGCTCAGCAACATCCCAGAACATATTTTCTGTTCCAGTAAGAACCTCCTGGATGCTCTGTGTCATGCTGTGCCTAAGTGCCACACCTAGCTGGATTCTCCAAATCGTAAGGATAAGCGAGTTTTTTTTTTTTTTTTGAGACAGAGTCTTGCTCTGTCGCCCAGGCTGGAGCGCAGTGGCCGGATCTCGGCTCACTGCAAGCTCCGCCTCCCGGGTTTACGCCATTCTCCTGCCTCAGCCTCCCGAGTAGCTGGGACTACAGGCGCCCGCCACCTCGCCCGGCTAGTTTTTTGTATTTTTTAGTAGAGACGGGGTTTCACTGTGTTAGCCAGGATGGTCTCGATCTCCTGACCTCGTGATCCGCCCGTCTCGGCCTCCCAAAGTGCTGGGATTACAGGCTTGAGCCACCGCGCCTGGCCGCGAGTTTTTTTTTTTAATAGAAGTCAAAAGAAGGGGCCTTCCTCTCATCCCCCACCTGCTGGCTCCTCACCTGTGTGTTGTCCTCATAAAGCATGATGACAATCTGGGCCATGTAGTTAAGCTCTGAGATGGCACTAAGATAATCCAAAGCTCGCTGCCATTGTGCATCCTGGGTCTCCTACCAAATGCAAAAAGAGGTAAGCCATTGCTTAAGGAAAAGGGAGTCAGGGAATAAGCAGGGAGCTAATGAGAAGGGAGAAAGCTTTCATTTACAAAGCATGAGGAGAAGAGTGAAAGAATGTTGGGAAAAATTTGTTCACAGGCTAAAGAAGAAGGAGGATCCTTACATCAAGAAGTCCTCCATAACGGAAGACACTGAGTAGGGAGTGGACGTGGCTCTCACTGGTGAAACAGAGACGTGTTCGAACGTGGCGACCTGGGGAGAGCACGCCTCGAGAGTACCTGAGATAACAGCTAAATCACTCACACAGTCAGTTAATCCTCCTCCCACCCTTCTGCAAACTCTCTTCTCCCACCTCAAAGACTTCTCTCCTTTCCATCCCAAAATCTTGTCTATTCTTGCTTCCCCAGGCTGTCCCAGCCTTGATTCCCCCAAGACTCCCCGACATGCCCCTCCCTCCATCCAACACCCCTCCCAGCCCTCCCTCACAGGGGATGCAGCTTGTTGACAGACTCATCCTCGTGGGTTCTCTGCAGGTCAAGCAGTATCTTCCGCAACAGTGGAAGACAGAAGCCCACAGCAATTTCCAGTTTCTCCTCCCGGCTGATCCCGTACTCCTAGGGGCCACAGGCCAGGAATAAATACCTCAATAAATCTTGTTTTCTCATGCCTCATATTCCCAGGACCAAGATCACGCCTGTCTTCACCTCACGTCTAGCGCTTCTTTCATATCCACTACACTCCCCCTCTTCCAGGTGTCTCCTGAATTAGCCTCCTGTACTTACCAAGAGCCAGACTGGACCCTGAGAAATGTAGAAACTCAACTTATTCCTTCTCTAAGTGGCTTTCCTCTAGTCCCAAATCACCCTTCCTTTCCACCTTTTCTCTCTTTCCTTCCCAACACCCTCATCCCCAGGCTAGGTCCCTTATACAAGACACACCTGGGGAATGACCATATCAGCCATTGCCTTAGAGAGACAGAGCAACTCGGCTGTGCCTTGAAGTCCCAGACTCCCATTGTGCTGCACATCATACTTGACACAGTCATAGATGTCAGGGATCTTACTGATATCATAGCTCCCACTCTTCTGTCGAAAGTCACGCTCCAGCTTGCTCCAACGCTGTAGCATTAGCTCTAGTGTCTCACTGTGGTAGAGCTGCAGGTCTGGAAGAAAGGCAGAAATCAGACAAGAATCAAAGATTTTACCTCCAACCAAAGACCCTGATGACTCTGAAGTAGAACCAGAGGGAGGAGGCGGCCTGGTCTGTGACATTTAGCAGATGACACAAGAATGCCTGAGAAACCCATCCATACCTGAGACCTTGAAGGGAAGATAGTAGTATTCATACCCACCTACAGACCTGGGGTCCTGCATTCGTTCCCGGATCTGGTGGGTGAGGTTTTCGATCAGGGCAAATACCTGATCACAGACCTTCACAGGATTCTGGATGATAGTCATGGAGTTGAGCAGGGAAATACTTCTGGTGGGAGCCAGCTATGAAGAATTGAGAGAAGAAAAGCAAGATAAGCTCAGCACTAATTGCCCAGATTCCTGTGAGCTTATTACACAGAGACTACCCACAATACAGATCTGTATGCTGGTTCACTCCAGTGAGCATTCTTAGGTTACTGGGAATAGTAGCAGCTCTAGGCCTTCAGGTAAGGGCACTGCTCTACCATATAGTCATCTAAGAGGGATTGATTTTAAGAGTCTTAGAGTCCAGAGAAAATAAAACAGACCTAAGTTATTTTCTTGAAGGCTCTAGAATACACATGGAAAATACTGGAGAATAAGGATTAAACCAAAATCCCTCAAAATCTCCACAGAATGTTTTCATGAGTAGAGATCAGAGATAACATCATCTTCTTCCTCTAAACAAGATGCCAGCCTGAGCCTAGAGTAGAAATGCTGCCTCAGAACTGGGTTCCGACTCAGGCTTTTAGGACAGTAACAGTCAATGAGAAATGGGGAGGGAGAATCAAGATTGTGGCTGAAAATGCACAATTCTATTCAGATCCTCACAAGTTTCATTCTTGCTTGCAAAAGAAGGCAAGGCAGAAAAGGAAAGCTGCCTTAGCTTTTTTGAGTTTGACAGTGAGCAATGGATTGGGAAATAAAGGAGCAACATCCTCTTCCTTATCAAGTGCTACTCAGAGAACACAGAAAATGCCATGGAATCATAGCAATGTGCTTACTTAGCTCATTTAAGAACCAATCAGAAATGTTATACAACAATGTAAATTCATGTAATGCTACTGAACTGTACAGTTAAAAATGGTTAAAGTGGTACCACAATTTTACATTTTTAAACTTTTTAAAAAAATAACATATCAGAAGTGAGGAGTGGGAAGAGTAGAAAACCACTGCCTGGTAAATTGTGGCCTAGATATGCAGGAAAAAGAATGACCATATTGGGTAACGGCATATAGTGGAATTAACACTATAAAGCATTGTAACAGCCTGGGCTTTGGAGTTAGACTCCTTGGGTTTGTATTAGCTGGATGACATGGGGAAAATTGCTTAGATTCTTCTGAGCCTAGGTTTCCTCATCTGTAAAATGGGAAGAAAGTCCTTGTGATCTGCAGTCCTCGTAGTGCTTTAAAGATCACCATCAATTCTTTGTCTTCCTTCCCTTTCCTTAAATCTGGCTGGCCCGGTGACTGCTTAACCAATAAAAAGTAACAAAGTTATGTTGTGCTAATTCTGAGCCTACACTTTAAGAAAGTTTCTAAGCTTCTGCTTTTGAATATCCCTACTGCTACCATTTAATACATCCAGCTATCATGCTACAGAAACCATATGAAGAACCAAGTGGAGAGGAGAGGCACTGAGATTACTGGGAGAGCATGCAGAGGGAGAGAGCCAGCCATCCCACAATCCCAGCTGAATTCCAGATGGTTCCAGCTCCAGTCAATATCTGACGCAATTTCAGGAGAGACTCCAAGCAAGATCAGATGGGTCCGGAACTGTGACAGATAATAAAATGTTGTTGTTTTAGGTTACTATGTTTTGGGGTAGTTTATTATGCAACAATGGATAACTGAAACATTCTTTTGTTCAGGGTCCTTGGGATCAGAGCTGTGCTTTGGAATTGAGAATGTGTGGGAGTTTAGAACTGAATACAGTATATATGCCATATGTATATAATACCTCCAACAGGGCCTATGGCATAACCAAACACATTAATATTTCTGCCACAAAATGCATGACTATAAAGTGGGAAAACTAAGGAGTATAAAAGTCTTACGACAGTTCGTGTCAGGTTTGGCTGCCAAATGAATCTTAGTGTCAAGAAAAAAATCTTTTTAATTTTCAAAATTATGGACAAGAGATTGTAGACCTGTACTTATCTCAAAGGGTTGCTGTAAGGATTAAACAATATGTGTAAAACAACTAAAACAGTGCCTAGCATGCAGTAAATACCGTTATTATTGATCCCTACTATTGAGAATTCTAGGAATTGGGGATCCAGGTTATTTTAGTGCCTGACCTGGTCGTAGTCCTCAGGGCCAAAGGGCGCATCCTGCTGTAAAATATGGTGCAGCTGAGCCTTCACCCGGTGCTGGCAGCTGCTCAAGGAATCCCCATCGCTGTCCAGTAGCCCATTCATGTTGGCACTCTTCACCATTTACACTAAAATGGGTGTCAGCTCCTCTTCTACAGCCAGAAGGCCCTAAAGAGAAAGCACAAGGTCTATTTGTTTCCCTTGCAGGTTAGCAGGTTAGTATCCCTAGGCCTAGATGGTCCGAGGGATCGAATGGGACCTGGTTGAAGAGATGGGGCCTACAATCACTGATTATTCTCAGCTCATTCTCAGTAGTACAAAATGGGTCCAATACATGCAGAAACTTCTGAGTTGGCCTACAAGCACCCTGAAATGCTCCAACTGGTTCTCCAAACTCTGCTTCTCTACCTAATGGAAACTGGGACTATAGAACTGTAGTATGCACCTTGGCGAAGGCAGCAGCAGTCATCTGAACACGACCCTCATCAGAGGCATAGATCTTGAGGTCGTGGCGGAAAGTGCTATGGAGATGAAGCAGTCCACAACCAGGGAAGCCAGCATAGTCACCTGGAGACAAAGCGGGGGACCAGGAATGGACTGCTATAAATACTCGTGGAAGAAAAAATATTCATTTCCCCACTGTCTCTGTCACTTCATTTTCCCCAACTTACTCTCTAATCATTTTTATCCCGGCCCTGTTGTGTTTACTCCCCAAAACACTCACCCTGTCCTCCAGGGTACATGCAGCGAAAAGCTCGCCCCAGCTTCTCAGTCTGAACAGGGCCAGCTAGAGTCAGTTCTCCATTCCACTTCAGCACCAGCAACAGGGATGAGGCCAGAGCCTCACTCTGTGGATCTGAGGGAATAAGCGGCAGTGAATGGTCTAGATCTAAGAAAAGTAGTGGGAACATCTAAATGTTAGGTCTTCTGAAGAGGCCAGAGAGGTAATTTGAGGTATAGGTCATCTACAGGCTCAAGTAAAAGACATCTGGTGGGGAGAGAAGATAGACAAAAATAAAAATAAAAAGAACACAAGATCTGAGAGGTAATGGTAAGGGGGACTACATCTTACCTTGCCCCTCATTAGACGCTTTTACTCCATGAGGGTAGTAAGTCAATTGTACCTTCCGGTTTATACCTGAGAAGTGACCATACCTGCAGGATAAAGTCACAGTTTATTTTCTGTTCCAGCACCCCAACTCTCACTGTTATTGGCTCCCTTTTGCTATCCCCTTTCTCACATCTCCAATACAGACTTCAGCTGCTCTAGTTTTCCAGTCTTCTCCTCGATCTCACCACCTGGTTCTTTCTCCAGTTCAGCCAACAACAGCCTTGTGATATCCAGCACCTCCTAGAGGAAATAATAAGGTATCCATGCAGAAGGCCAAGTCCTAGACAGTTACCTTTTGATCCTAGTCTTTTATCGAGACTCCCAATGCCATATCCTCTCTCTCTCTCTCATAGCACTGCTCCTCCTGGCCAGATTCACTACCTTACCTGGAGCTGCTCAGGTCGCTTGAGTTTTAATTTCCCTGTCTTGTAGCCACCATGTTTTTCAAACAGAGCAAAAAACCTGAAGAAATAATGAGAAGCTTCAGTGTGGGATAAGACAGTCAAAGCCTCTAGGAGTTGCACCCCATACAGTCTTCCTCACAAAAACCTATTTGTGTAAATTAGGACACTCTTCCTACCTTGGGTGTTTCACTTCCATCTTCATCTTCTGCTTGGGAGTACGATCCCCATGACAAATAATTGCAATGACATGACGAAGTTCCATCCTAAGATCATAAATGTTATCAGAGCCTCTCCCACACCCCCATCCCACCTCCTGTCATCACATTACTTGACATGTCAAAAAATAGAGGGGCTGAGCAGGGCTCATGCCTGTCATCTCAGCACTTTGGGAGGCTGAGGTGGGAGGATCACTTAGACCCAGCAGAAACATAGGGTGAGCATAAGCAACATAGGGTCAGCCTGTCTATAAAAAAGTTAAAAGAAAAAAAATTATCCAGGCATGGTGGCATACGCCTGTGGTCCCAGCTATTTGGGAGGCTGAGGTGGGAGGATCACTTGAGCCCGGGAGGTAGAGGCTGCAGTGAACCATGCGTGCACCACTGCACTCCAGCCTGGGAGACAGAGCCAGACCCTGTCACAAAAAAAAAAAGAAAAAGAAAAAAGAAAAAGAATAGGAAACTGTGATTAGGAATATAAATGGAGGCTGGGCATAGGGGCTCACGCCTGTAATCCCAGCACACTGGAAGGCCGAGGCGGGTGGATCACTTGAGCTCAGGAGTTCAGGATCAGCCTGGTCACATGGTGAAACCCTGTCTCTACTAAAAACACAAAAATTAGCCAGATGTGCTCACCTGAACCCAGGAGGTGGAGGTTGCTGTGGGCCGAGATCATGCCACTGCACTCCAGCCTGGGCAACACAGTGAGACTCTGTCTCAAAAAAAAAGGGCGGGGAATATAAGTGGAGTTAAGAAGACTGTGTATAAGAGGCCCAGGCTCCGTTAGTCAGATAGTGTGGGGTCAGGAAGTAACCAGTAGCCTGGCTGAAGGAGTCCCATGGGTCTTAAGTAATATTTATTGAGGGCACCCTACATTCTAAGTATTATATCAGAACATTAAGGCCAGGCACACTGGTTTACACCTATAATTCCAGCGTTTTGGGAGGCTGAGGAGGATGGAACACTTGAGTCCAGGAGTTCGAGACCAGCTTGGGCAACATGTCAAAACCCAGTTTCTACAAAAAAATACAAAAATTAGGCAGGCATGGTGGTGCATGCCTGTAGTCCCAGCTATTTGGGAGGCTGAGGCAAGAGGATCATTTGAGCCCGGGATGTGGACATTGCAATGAGCTGAGATCATGCCACTGCACTCCAGCCTGGGTGACAGAGTGAGACCCTCTCTCAAACCAAAAATAAAAAACATAATAAAACCCCCATGCTCTCTCTCCCCTTCATCTACTCCACCTTAAAAGACAGATGCCCAGTCAGATGCCATGGTTTATCCCTATAATTCCAGTATTTTGGGAGGCTGAGGTATGAGGATCACTTGAGCTCAGGAGTTTGAGACCAGCCAGAGCAACATAGCAAGACCCCATCTCTACAAAAAGAAATTTAAGGCTGCGCACAGGGGCTCATGCCTGTAATCCCAGCACTTTGGGAGGCTGAAACAGGATGACTGCTTGAGCCTCAGAGTTTGAGACCAGCCTGGGCAATACAGGGAGACGATGCCTTTACAAAAGCTTTTTCTTCTTTTTTTTTTTTTATTGAGACAGAGTCTCGCTCTGTCGCCCAGGCTGGAGTGCAGTAGCGCCATCTCGGTTCACTGCAAGCTCCGACTCCTGGGTTCACGCCATTCTCCTGCCTCAGCCTCCTGAGTGGCTGGGACTACAGGCGCCCGCCACCATGTCCGGCTAATTTTTTTTTTCTTTGTATTTTTAGTAGAGACGGGGTTTCACCGTGCTAGCCAGGATGGTTTCGATCTCCTGACCTCATGATCTGTCCGCCTCCGCCTCCCAAAGTGCTGGGATTACAGGCGTGAGCCACCGCACCCGGCCAACAAAAGCTTTTTCTTAAATTAGCCAGAGATGGTAGCATATTCCTGTGGTCCCAGCTACTTGGGCGGCTAACCTGGGAGGATTGTTTAAGCCCAAGAGGTCAGGACTACAGTGATCCGTGACTGTACCACTGCACTCCAGCCTGGGGGACAGAAGACTGAAAAAAAAAAAAATTAGTTTTTTTTTTCTTGAGATGGAGTCTCGTTCTGTCACCCAGGCTGGAGTGCAGTGGCGCTACCTCAGCTCACTGCAACCTCTGCCTCCCGGGTTCAAGCAATTCTCCTGCCTTAGCCTCCCGAGCAGCTGGGATCACAGGCACACTCTACCATGCCCGGCCAATATTTTGCATTATTTTTCAGTAGAGATGGGGTTTCACCATGCTGGCCAGGCTGGTCTTGAACCCCAGACCTCATGAACTGCCCGCTTCGGCCTCCCAAAGTGCTGGGATTACAGGCATGAACTGCCATACCCGGCCAAAAAGTTTTTAAAAATTAGTAAGGCATAGTGAGTGGTACTTGCCAGTGGTCCCATCTACTCAATAGGCTGAGGTGGAAGGATTGTTTAAGCCCAAAAGGTCAAGGATGCAGTGAGCCGTGATCGTGCCACTGCACTCCAGCCTGGATGACAGAGTAAGACCCTGCCTCAAATAATAATAATAACAATAATAATAATAAAAGACAGATGCCCAAGTTCAGAAAATCTGATCAGGCAAAGAAGTCTAGTATGGTTGGGAGGTTGAGGATACAGGCATCCATACAGCAGTCTCCAATCCATTCTCAAACTGAAATCTCAATGTTCTCTCTAGTGTCCCCTGGTACTATAGAAGCAGTGTTAGTCTAGGCCAAGGTCCCTCATACCAGGAGCAACAGTGGGAAAAAAAAAAAAAAATCCTGCCTAAAACTGCACAAGTAAGAATATCTTAAGACTTTAACTTGAGGGCCGGGTGCAGTGGCTCATGCCTATAATCCCAGCACTTTGAGAGGCCGAGGCGGGTGGATCACGAGGTCAGGAGATCGAGACCATCCTGGCTAACACGGCAAAACCCCGTCTCTACTAAAAATGCAAAAAAAAAAAAATCGGCCGGGCGTGGTGGTGGGCACCCATAGTCCCAGCTACTCGGAAGGCTGAGGCAGGAGAATGGCATGAACCTGGGAGGCAGAGAAAGCAGTGAGCCGAGATCCACCACTGCACTCCAGCCTGGTCAACAGAGCAAGACTCTGTCTCAAAAAAAAAAAAAAAAAAAAGAGACTTTAACTTTAACTTGAACCAGCAGTTCCACTTCTGTGTACACACAAGTAATGTAGTGGTTCTCAACCAGCTGTGATTTTGCTGCACAGAGGACGTTTGGCAGGAGACATTTTTGGTTGTCACAATTGGAAAGGTACTATTGGTGTCTAGTGAGTAGATGCCAGGGATACCGCTGAACATTCTAAAATGCATAAGATAAGATATCTCCTCACAACCAAGAATTATCCAGCCTTAAATCTCAGTAGTGCTGAGGTGGAGAAACCCTGCTGTAGAGAAATTCTCCTACATAAGAAGACTTTTGTGAGGAAGTTCTTAACCTTCTTCATCTCTCTGTTGGTAATGAGAAAAACTGAAAACAGTTCAGAGGTTACAAGTAGAATCAATAAATATAATGTCTTATACAGAAATGACAGACTAATCACAATGTAAAAATAAAAGCTATATGTAATAAATGGACAGTTTCCAAATACAAACTGCAGAAATACACCTGCAGCACAATTCTATTTGTATAAATACAAATGTTACATATGGTTTATGACTGCATATATAATTAGCAGAAGTATAAAACAGGGACTGGAAAGAAAGACATCAAATTCATGATAGTGGTTACCTTTGAGGAGAAGGGAGAATGGAACTGAGGATTCAAATGGTACTTCATAACCTTATCTACAATGTTTATTTCAATTGTAAAAAAAGATCTGAAGCAAATACACAAAAGGTTAACATTTGTTCATATGAATTGTAAGGATATGAATATCTGTTATTATTTTCCAAAAATAAAAATTGAGTCACACATCAGCAATTTTCCATGGTCTCCAAAAGGTCTCAGAAACACTGACCAGTGACTCTAGTAAAAGCCACAAACTCCTTAAGTAAATGAACTTGTCTTAAGAAATGATATCTTATATATGTAATTAGTCTCATAGATTTTGAAAATAATCTTGAATTATTTTCTCTATCTTTATTTTAAACTCTTTCATTACAACTGGGGCTTGCAATTTTGACTAGAAAGTTCTAGCTGACTGCCGGGCACGGTGGCTCATGCCCATAATCTCAGCACTTTGGGAGGCCAAGGCAGGCAGATCACTTGAGGTCAGGAGTTCAATAACAGTCTGGCCATCGTGGTGAAACCCCGTCTCTACTAAAAATACAAAAAATTAGCCTGGTGGGGTGGTGCGCACCTGTAATCCCAACAACTCAGGAGGCTGAAGCTGGAGAGTCATTTGAACCCAGGAGGCGGCGGTTGCAGTGAGCTGAGATCATGCCACTGCACTCCAGCCTGGGTGACAAGAGTTAAAATCCTGTCTCAAACGAACAACAAAAAAAAAGTTCTAGCGGACCTTTATATAGACCTCGAACTCTCGATCTTTCCAGTCTTCATCATCTGCTGTCTTTACTTCTCAACTGCCACGGGGGTGCGACATTCCCCTTAGACTTAATATTTCTAGTTGTGTACTGTATGTCATACACACACTCTTCTCCCTGATAAAAAGGCTATTTTTTAAATTCCTTTTCAGTGACCTGACCCAATTTCCCTGACTTGGGACATTCCCAAGGTCCCTGTATAGTTTGAGCAATTAGAATTTTCCTGCATTCTTCATCCTCGCTCTGAAGCAGGGACTTTCTCTCAAGTCTAAGATTCCTAACCCTTTGCCCTTTCTTCCATTGAGTCCTTCCTCGTTTTCTACCGAATGTACAGTCATGGTCTTGAAATTCTATTGCAACTACATAACGAGGCATGGTAAGTAATAGAACAGGGAAGAGCCTGTTTAAAAATAAGTGGCTGAAGAGAGACGAAAGGTCTAAATTCCCAGTTAACAAAGCAAAAATAGAAACCTGACAGAAATAGCTATGAAATAAGCCAGGATTTATTTAGAGGCACCTCTGGGAGAAGCTAGACTTTAATGTGGTGTTCCCAGAGCCGCTTCCCTGTTTTCCATGCTCTTCTCCCCATCCGCCTCTCTCCCAAACTGTGTTGCAAAAGAAAAAACTTCACACTCCACACTGGGCTAAAGAGCAGTCTTAGGCCAACAGGAATCAACGTGAATAGACGGAAAGAAGCAAGGAGATAGGCGAGTAAGGTAAGGAGGGAGGGGCAGGCAGGCAATCTTCTCAGGAACATCTATGTTAAATCAGATCTGGAGAAGGGGTAGAAGGGAGGGTACACGGTATAACTTCTTTATACCTTTGACTTTAGGGCTGCTTGTATATATTTAATTTCCTAAATCACTATGCACTTGATGGTGGACTCCATTGGTAGTGAAGAGGAAATATCAATACAAATTCCAGGCAGGAATACTTCCAACACAGAAAAACTCCTCAGGCCACCAACACTATTTTCTGCCCACCTTGAACAGTGGACACCTCACTTCCTTCTTAATGCAATTTTTAATTCTTCAGACACACTCCTCCTTCCGACTCTGATCAACTGTGCTCCTCTCCCTGTTCTCAGTATCAGCTGCTTCGTTCCATCTTCTTTTCCCAACTTGCTACGACTCTTGCCCCAATACTGACTGCAGCCTCCCCATCCCGTCCCGCATCATTGGTCAACTAATTCCGTTAATCCAACTAATCCTCTCACTCACTGATTCCCCAGTATTAAACTCCTTCACCCCCTCGCACGAGTCACCATACTGGGTAACATCTTTATATTGACCCCCAGTGACCCCCCACAAAGACGGCCTGCCATCCATTCTTTCCTCACACCACCCCTCTCTCGAGGCTGTCTTCTCTCCGTCGCAACCCATTCCTCAAGCTACCCCCTTCCCCCTGGACTCCAGCCCCACCCCTCCTGGCGCAGATCCCTTCCACCTTGGAGAGGACTCCCTTGTACGACTCCGCTCCTCCATCCTCCCGCAGGACCCCCTCTTCCTCACGCAGACCCCCACATACCCATCCACCTCCTCTCCCGCCGACCCTCTCCTCGGTACTCTCCCCGCACAGCTCCGGGTCACGAATACCGCCCTCCCATCTCGACTCCACTAGCCTTTGCCCGCCCCCACCTTGGCCGCCCCACTCTCCCTGCGCTGACACTAAGGCCCCTCCGCTGGGCCTCCTCCCAAAGCGGAGCCCACCCAGAACGAACCGCTGCTCCGGGAATCCACCAAGCCCACTCTACCGCGCCCACCCCCTCCGATACCGCCCCCAGCCCCAGCCACTCCCCCACCGCCCCCGGCCCTCACTCACCCGCCTCCCTCAGCTCGCGCAGCCGAACCTGCCGGCAGCGACACCTGACAGCGGCCCAATCAAAGCGCGACTTCTTTGCAGTGCCACCAATTAGCGAAGGGCGCGCACCGGCAACAGAGTCAGGCTGCGTTGGCCGGCGCTTCTGCGCGGAGGAGCGTGACCCCTGGTGGCTCCGGGAGGGAATGCAACTTAATGCTCCCTTCCTTTGATTTCTTACTGCGTCGCCAAAGTCCAGATGCATGGTCTAGACAGAGACGTTCCATGAGACGACGGGGTGGGTGGGTGGGAAGCCTGATGCTGAGAAAGAGGAAGAGGCAGAGTTTGTGCCATTGCTGCTCCTTCAGAGCAAAACCAGGTCTTCCAAAGGCGGGTCGCGGTGGCTCACGCCTGTAATCCCAGCACTTTGGGAGGCCGAGGCGGGCGGATCCAGAGGTCAAGACATCGAGACCATCCTGGCTAACACGGTGAAACCCTGTCACTACTAAAAATACAAAAAATTAGCCGGGCGTAGTGGCGGGCGCCTGTAGTCCCAGCTACTCGGGAGGCTGAGGCAGGAGAATGAGGTGAACCCGGCAGGCGGAGCTTGCAGTGAGCCGAGATCGCGCCACTGCACTCCAGCCTGGGCGACAGAGGGACACTCCGTCTCAAAACAAACAAACAAACAAACAAAACCGGGTCTTCCGTTTGTCTTATGAGACAAAACAGGGTCTCATATATGTACAGATCCAATAAATAAAGGTTGAAAATATTAACAGATGTAAAGAGGAGTGACAGGGAGACTGGAGACAAAAAGAGACAAGGAGAGAAGCAGACAAGAAAGTTAAGAGAAGGAACAGAGAGATATTTACAGAGGAGGCAAGAAAATGGATGGACCTGGAATTCTAGACAAATTGATTCCTATCTCAACAGCCTGCTTTTTCTCTACGCTCCAGACAAAGCTGGATTTGAATCCTGGCCTTACCTTTAATATCTGTGCAGCCTTGAGTGACTCACTTAACTTTTCTGAGCCTTTATTTTTCTCATCCATAAAACTGGGATTAAAAACCTATGGCCAGGCTCGGCGGCTCACGCCTGTAATCCCAACACTTTGGGAGGCCGAGTCATGCGAATCACGAGGTCAGAAGGGTGAGACCATCCTGGCCAACGCGGTGAAACCCCGTCTCTACTAAAAATGCAGAAATTAGCTGGATGTAGTGGTGCGCACCTGTAATCCCAGCTACTCGGGAGGCTGAGGTAGGAGAATTATTTAAACCCAGAGGTGGAGATTGCAGTGAGCCGAAATAGCGCCAGTGCACCTCAGCCTGGCGAGAAACCCAGACTCCGTCTCAAACAACAACAACAACAACAAAAACAACAACAACAAAACTAATTAAGGCCTGTTGTGGTGACTCATGCCTATAATGCCAGCACGTTGGAAGGCCGAGGCGGCAGCTTGGTGGAGTGCAAGGAGTTCAAGACCAGCCTGGGCAACATGATGAAACCCTGTCTCTACAAGAAATACAAAAGCTAGCCAGGCATTGTGGCCTATGCCTGTGGTCACAGCTACTTATGAGGCTGAGGCAGGAGGATCACTTGAGCCTGGGAGATGGAGTTTGCAGTGAGCAAAGATCACCTCACTACATTCCAACCTGGGTGACAGAGCGAGACCCTGTCTCAATAAACAACAACAAAACACCTCACTTAAAGGGTACTGATAATATGGAAGCATTTTGTATTGTATATGTTATTGTTCTTATTATCTTTGCATCTGCACTTGGGTTTCCCTGGTCAAGACAGTTGTTCCCTCTTTCTTCTCTGCAACATTAGAGGTCTTGCCACTTTTCCAGTTGTGCCACATTGTACTGACCCCACAAGGCCTCCTGAATGGACATAGAAATGATTCTAAGGGCTGCAATAGATTATTCTAAGAGGAATAGATGCCTCACTAGTTCATGCCCAGGCTCATACCTCCTCCACCACTCTAGCCCTTCAAACTAGCTATTACAGCATCTTCCAGGTAGTTAACTTCCATTACTGTCCCCCTGAAAATGTAGACTCTGTCCCTAGTAATCATTGGAACAATCCATTTCAACTCAATGAAATAATACATATAAAAGTTCCTTATAATTGTAAAGTGCTTTAAAAATATTAAATACTATTTACAATAATAATTCTTATTAAATAAATAAAATACCATATATCAATACCATATATTGATTACTTCCATATGCTGTAAAATAACTTTTAAAATGAGCATTAATATATGATGTGCCTGTCAAAGGCACATGAGGGATAAGAAAAGTGCACAAGTGGCTGGGCGTGGTGGCTTACGCCTGTAATCTCTGCACTTTGGGAGGCTGAGGCAGGCAGATCATGAGGTCAGGAGATCGAAACCATCCTGCTAACACAGTGAAACCCCGTCTCTACTAAAAATACAAAAAAAAAAAAAAAAAAATTAGCCGGACGTGGTGGCAGGTGACTGTAGTCCTAGCTACTCGGGAGGCTGAGGCAGGAGAATGGTGTGAACCTGGGAGGCAGAGATTGCAGTGAGCAGACATCACGCCACTGCACTCCATCCTGGATGACAGAGCAGGATACTGTCTCAAAAAAAAAAAAAAAAAAGAAAAGAAAAGTGCACAAGTACATGTGTTTTCTCAGTAGAATTATTGTTCACGTTTGGGAAGCTACTCTCTAAACTTGGGTAATTTCTCTACTCCTCTGGCTGTCTTATTTCTCCTTCTGTAATTATCTCTTCCCACTCCCTATTCCTTAATCTTAGTAACCACCCTCTCAATCAAATAGCTACCCTATGGCTCTGGAAGATTATCTCCCTATTAATCTGGATAAATACACGCTATTCTAAGAAGTTATATTTATTTACTCATGGCTACTTTTTAACCTAGGTAAAGAGACCCCACAACACAGGTAACATTTTCCACACTGCAGCTGCATAATTCTGTTCTCTAACAATTGATGTCTTACCAGGAGAAGAAGGAATGGACCCAAAGGAGAGGTGGATACTTCTAAGAATACCCACAAATGAAGAAGGTGGAAAAAAAGAACACAAGGAAGGCCTAAGGGGAATGAAGGGAATGAGAGTAGTATGGGGGAGTTCTTGATGTAAAGGGAATTCTCTTTCCCAAATACTCTCTCTTAAGATTTCTGAGTATCTTACTGTCTTGCGGGTACAACAGGATAGCAGAGGTAAGGGACTAATGCCACAGTGCTACTCCACCTTAACTGACCGTCTACGCTGAAGCCCCTCATCTCTATTTCAACTCTAGCATTCATTCTCCTTGCTACCAGGACAAAGGTCAAGTCATACCTGGAGCTAGGAAACAAAGCCCTCTCAAGTCTGAGTATGAGTTTTATGAGGAGAGAGGGCAGAAGAGGGGATCACGAGGAAGGCAGAGATGCCCTGACGACCTCATGCCCTGGTACACCACTTGCCTCTGGATTAAACAGCATTAGGGAGCCAAGAAAGGAAACACATGTGGTGTCTGGAGACCTGTGCCTGCCTGTCCCAGTCCCACACCCAGTCATCTCACCACACCCTTCACCACCTGACTTTACGTTGTCCTCCAGCCCAGGAACTAGGAACTACGGAGAGAGAAGCCAAGGGAGAGGAGGAAGAGGAAACTAAGGATTCCCTGCTCAACCCCAGCCCCACACCCAGTACCACCAACAGGTGAGCAAGCTTGCCGAGGAAACGCAGAGGGCATCCTGTGAGCAGGAAACACGTCTGAGCCTGGAAAAGAGGCAGAGAAGTAAAAGATCAAAGGCGAGGTAGGGGGCGGGGAGGAAAGTGGGAGAGACAAAAGGAAAACAAAAAGTGGGGGATCATGAGAAGTAGAGGCAGGAAATAACAGGGCTTCAGACTTGGGTGCAGAGTGGAGGTGGAGGACACAGCACAGATGGCATAAGAATTAATATTTCCCTGGTTCCTGCCAGGGACTCCTTTCTCAGCCTTGTAAGGAGTGCACAGAGGTGGCAAGGAAGCACCTTGCTCCTCTTCCTGGTTCTAAGGAAAAGGTGACCTTGAGCCAATGGGTGTCTTTCCCAGTGCCTGCCTCTAACCCTGTGCTTTCTCCATATCCTCCTCTGGTATCTGTGTTTATTCCGCGGTTTCCCCGCGGCTGCCCCCGGGAGAAGGGAGAGGTGGCTGGGGCAGGCCGAAAGCAGAGGATAGGTTGGGCAATGTCACCCTTCCACACCTACAGGGTAGATGGATCGGGTTTCGGTTTAAACCGAGGGGTTTGGGGGAAGGGTGTTGGGGTTTAGCTAGTCCACGCGGGTGCTGTCCTCCACTTGGTGCTGAAATCTGGGCCGCCACATCCCGGGGGCGGGTGGGGGCTACATCCCCGGCTTTAGACGCGCGAGTCTCAGGTCCCGCTAATTACCTGGCGGGTGCTGCCCACCTCTGCCCCCGCGCACCTAGCGCGGTGGCAGGGGGGAAGGCGGGGCCTCGGGGAGCCCCACCCCTGGAGACTGCGGCTGGGGCCTCCCCCTCCTCCGCCAGCCTGCCACTAGCTCATTGCGCCTCTCCTGCAGTCTGGTTGGCACCGGCTCCCATTCCGGCTCCAGCCTCCAATCCGACCCCCATTTCGGCTGCAGCCTCGGACCTAGCTCCGGCCCTCAGTCTATCGGGTTGCATCCTCCCTCCCTGTTCCGGATCCTATCTTGCGCCAGCGCCTACTCCAGGATCCCGTAGCCAGACCTCAAGCCATGGCTGGTCCCTTCTCCCGTCTGCTGTCCGCCCGCCCGGGAATCAGGCTCCTGGCTTTGGCCGGAGCGGGGTCTCTAGCCGCTGGGTTTCTGCTGCGACCGGAACCTGTACGAGCGGCCAGTGAACGACGGAGGCTGTATCCCCCGAGGTAACAGTGCCTGAGGCGCGGGAGGAGGTGGGGGCAGGTGGTGATTGAAGGTGCGGGTAGAAATGAGAATCCGAGCAACAGAAAAGGGCTATAATCACGAAGGGCCTGGAGCTGGAGGGCTGTACAGTCTGCATACCTCAGCGGGGTGGGGGTGGGGGCCAAAACCATAAAGCAAGAACATTTCTGGGGACCTGCCAAGACCACCTCTGGCCCTGCGAGTTCCAGCTGCACTCGCTGCCCAAATCCCTAATTATAAAGCCTGGAACTATCCTTTTCACTCCCCTCCATCTCCTTCCCTCATTTCCTCAATTCCTGTCCTTAAGGCTTTTCCCCTCCTCCATCCCTAGTGTTGTGTCATGGGAGGAAAGAACTGAGCAGATCTGGAGAAACTGAGTTGGCCAGCCAGAGGCAACTAGAACTACTAGAAAAGCATAGACTCTGAAAGTCCCTAAAGAGATTACCAAGGTTTAGCCTCTTTCTTATTCCCCCTCCTCCCACGGAGCAAAGCCAGACATGGCCAACTGGACAGCTCCCAGGTAACTGCATTAGGTCTAGGGTCTGTGCCCTCCCTCCATGGTCACTGGGTACCCCCTCCCCAGCGCTGAGTACCCAGACCTCCGAAAGCACAACAACTGCATGGCCAGTCACCTGACCCCAGCAGTCTATGCACGGCTCTGCGACAAGACCACACCCACTGGTTGGACATTAGATCAGTGTATCCAGACTGGCGTGGACAACCCTGGCCACCCCTTCATCAAGACTGTGGGCATGGTGGCTGGAGATGAGGAGACCTATGAGGTAGGGGGTCCCCAGAGTCTCCCTGATGATCCAACTCATCTTCCCAGTCATTCCAGCTCCTTCCCCCTAAAGACCTCTCACTTTCCCCCAAGACTCTGAGCCCCCCCATTCTTAAGTGTTCTGACCCAGTGAAATCAATGCACAGTTGAAGTCTGGGGAAGGATCCCCTCTCCTTAACTATCTCTCCCTCTTAACTCCCCTTAGGTATTTGCTGACCTGTTTGACCCTGTGATCCAAGAGCGACACAATGGATATGACCCCCGGACAATGAAGCACACCACGGATCTGGATGCCAGTAAAGTGAGTTCAAATATCCCACTTCTGATTTGCATTGCTTGTGTACAACACTGTATCTCCCATCCCTTCACCTTATTTCCTGACTCATGGTCATTACACTGCTGAGCTTTTAATCTTAATGTAAGGAAAGAATCATATCTTAAGGGGCAGCATATATGGAGATGAAAGGATAGATAAGAATGACTATGGCCCGAGGTGGGCGGTTTGGGGAAGGGTCTGCAATGCCCCCTTCAATTGGAGTGCTTTCCCAACGGGCCTCTTCTTCCAATGCACGCAAGTAGAATGCACAAAGAGTCCTCTAATGCCTAAGGAAGATCTCTCCTTTCCCAGGGGCCCTCAGTTCCCACCGTGTTTCTGTGACTTATATTCATTTCCCTTATCTCCCAGATCCGTTCTGGCTACTTTGATGAGAGGTATGTATTGTCCTCTAGAGTCAGAACTGGCCGAAGCATCCGAGGACTCAGTCTGCCTCCAGCTTGCACTCGAGCAGAGCGACGGGAGGTGGAACGTGTTGTGGTGGATGCACTGAGTGGCCTGAAGGGTGACCTGGCTGGACGTTACTATAGGCTCAGTGAGATGACAGAGGCTGAACAGCAGCAGCTGATTGATGTGAGGGTCTTAAGAGGGCGCTGGTTGGTGGGAGCAGATGGAAAAAAGAGCCAGAGGGAAGGCTGGGCCAGATGAGACATGGGCTCTGAGAGGCCCAGGGGCCACCATGAAGATTCTTAACCCAAGTCCCGTTACTCTTCCCAGGACCACTTTCTGTTTGATAAGCCTGTGTCCCCATTGCTGACTGCAGCAGGAATGGCTCGAGACTGGCCAGATGCTCGTGGAATTTGGTATGAGGCTGCTCCTTACCTCTTTTGTCTTCATGCCCTCATAAATGCTTTTTTTCCCCCTCTATCTCTCCCAATTCTTGCCTTGCCTCTTGAACACTGTCCCTCTCCTGCCCTCAGGCACAACAATGAGAAGAGCTTCCTGATCTGGGTGAATGAGGAGGATCATACACGGGTCATCTCCATGGAGAAGGGTGGCAACATGAAGAGAGTGTTTGAAAGATTCTGCCGAGGCCTCAAAGAGGTTGGAAAAGATTGTGTAGGGGAACTAGGTGGGAGGACATAAAGAAAACCAAAGAGTAGCATAAATAGATTATGTAATTTATCAACCCACCCAGGACATGTCTGATAGTAAAAAGGACTATCTAGGACTCACTCTAGGAATAAAGGTATAAACCAGCTGGGACCATACTGGGAAAACCAGGACATGTGGTCACCCTAAAATTAGGAAAAGAAAGAGTGTCAGGAACCTTAGGAAGTGAATAAGGCAGTTGCCAGATAATGCAAGAAAGGAATAATTGAGATGTCAGGTCAGTGCCTGGGATGTATGCGGTGGAATGGTGAGGTGTGCAGATAAGGAAAACATTTGAGCTTAGACTGATGTTGGCAGGGAGAGGTTGCTGCGTTCACGACTTTAATATAACCATCCAGGTCTGAGCCAATGTAGGCCTAGACTCCAGGTTCTATCATTCTTGTTAAAGTATCAGGTCGAGGCTTTAAGTTGAGAGTTGGGAGAGAGACTGGGGAAGGTGGAGTATAGAATGGTTCGAGTTCTAGAATATGTGGCTCTATATGAGAGGTTGAACTGAATCATCAATCCTACATAGACTGGGTCTCCATATTCAAGTCTACATTAGAAATCCCCATAAACTCAATTCAATTCTTACTGTATGTTCTCAAACATACAGTTCTATTTTAGATTTGCAAAGAAAAAGGGCTCCTCTTTTAGATTCTGAGAAGTTTCTACTATTTTAGGCAAGTAATAGATAACATATTCTGACTATGAGTGGGTCGGGAAGTACCTTTAAAATATATGCCTCAGTTTCCTCGTCTATAAATTGGGATAATGAGATTTTCTACATTTTAGGTTGTTGTGGGGATTAAATGAAATACAGATAAAGTACTTAGTCCAAAGTAAGTGCTTAGTAAGTGTTAAAGTGTTAGCTGCATTATTATTCTAGATGGAAGGGTTTCCCCCATGTTCAGCATGTAAGATATGCCCTATGCCATGGTTCTTTCTGAACTATAAACAGGATCCTTTTACTCACGTTGGGTAGTGGTCTTTGTGACCGTCACTCTGGTAGATCCCTTGTCTCTTCAACTCTAATAATCATCTTCATGACTACGTGGTTAAGTGAAGCAAAACGCCTTCCCCCTGCCCCTATTCCTATGAATCTGGCTTTTCTGCTCTGTTTTCATCTTTCTCTGCATTGACACAGGTGCTCCATTCACAGCTAACAGAACGTTATCTTACCTCTTCCTGTCAAAGCTTACACCTTCATCTTCTGTCTGAAAGGACCCTTCCAAGCTCTAGGCTCATTAGCAAAGCAAAGATAATTGATGCATGCAGAACTCATTGAATAATCAGTCCTCTCTCAGTTCAGTTTACCACCTCTGTTCATTTCCCTAGATCATCCCTAATACACCACTCCTTCGAGTTTTCTTCTTTCACATATTATTTCACAATCTCATTATTATGCACATCATAATTTTGCATCATGCATGCATGAAAACAATAACAAGCCATTTTCATTAAAAAAGACCAGTGTCATCCATTCACAGCCAAGTTTCTGTTCTAGACATATTTCTAGTGTTCTTGTGTGTCTAGCTAAGGGAGGGTCCAGGGTTAATGAAATATCCCTGATTTTTCATTAACAAAACCTTTGTGGACTCAGGTGGAGCGACTTATCCAAGAACGTGGCTGGGAGTTCATGTGGAATGAGCGTTTGGGATACATCTTGACCTGTCCATCTAACCTGGGCACTGGACTTCGGGCAGGAGTGCACATCAAACTGCCCCTGCTAAGCAAAGTAAAGGAGTTGTGGGGTTACAGAGGGGTGTGAGTAAGGAAGGGTGAGTTGTGGATGGGGAGGGAGTGGACCCTTTGGAAAGGAGCCAAACATGTTGTAGCTAAAGGGTCAGGGGACAGGCCAGGCACAGCGGCTCATGCCTGTAATCCCAGTACTCGGGAGGCCAAGGCGGGCTGATTACTTGAGCCCAGGAGTTCAAGACCAGCCTGGGCAACCTGTGGAAACCCCATCTCTACTACAAATGCAAAAGTTAGCTGGGTGTAATGGAGGCTGAGGTGAGAGGATCACTTAAGCCTGTGATCACTCCAGCCTGGGTGACAGAGAGAGATCCTGTCTGGAAAAAAAAAAAAAGTCAGGAAACAGAGCTCTGAGCAGGTTCAGGGCTCTTTCAGGTAGGACTAGTCTCTGCCTCTATCGACCGTGCTCCCAATCCCTATCTCCTCTCTAGGATAGCCGCTTCCCAAAGATCCTGGAGAACCTAAGGCTCCAAAAGCGTGGTACTGGAGGAGTGGACACTGCTGCCACAGGCGGTGTCTTTGATATTTCTAATTTGGACCGACTAGGCAAATCAGAGGTGAGATCCTAAGGGATTAGGGTGAGGAGAGCTATAGGTCTGTGGGGGCTGAAATATGGCAGTGAGTGAGCCTCCGGGATGTAACATAATCTGAAATGAAATTCAGGTCGAGTGGGGAGGCAACTGGAAATCAGCAGGCAAGTCAGTCAGTGCTAAAGAAAAGCTCAGATTGCAGGAAGCAGAGATCAAAGATTAGTGTCCTTCAGGTGGAGCTTGTGCAGCTGGTCATCGATGGAGTAAACTATTTGATTGATTGTGAACGGCGTCTGGAGAGAGGCCAGGATATCCGCATCCCCACACCTGTCATCCACACCAAGCATTAACTCCCCACCACCAACTGATGTCTCAAGATTCCCAGGAGTTCTGCTCATTCTAATGATGGCCCATTCTACTTGCTCTGGACCTGCCCCCGCATCCCCTGCCTCCATCCTAGTAAAGACTCCTTGCTATGCTGCAGCTGTCTATGTTATTTCTAATGGTGGGGTGAGGAGGGGAGCAGGCTTCAGGAAATGAAAAGAGGCAGTGGGATTATTTATGATGGAAAGAGACTCCAGATATGGCATCCTGGGAACACTGATTCTCAGGTGGGTGGAAAGCATTAACATTTTACCCATATTCCTCATCAGCTTCTGAAAATAATCAGGATGCACTTCTGTTTGCACTTTATTCATTATGACTTAAGATTTCTCTCCCCACAATCTCCTTCTACTGTAGAGACAGGCTCAGAGCAGGTGGCCAAGGAAGCTGATAGTCAATACCAGGGACCAGGAAGGTCGTGACCAGTCCTGGAGGCCCCAGGCTGTACTTCGACCTATAATAGACAGGGAATGGGAGTCGTATCACAACTCTGCTCTCCAGGAGCATTGATACTTGGAAATTAGCGCTCTGCCTGTAGACTCCTTCACTCCAGGGATCTCCCTGGGTGCACTCTAAGAGCCAGACAGCACCAGATTAGGGGTTTGATTCGGGGTCAGGGGATGGAGGCTCAAGCTGTGCAGCTGGGAACTCACCTTGCTGTTCCGGGCTCTCCTTGCCCTCATGCTGGGCCCATGCAACTGCTCGTCGCTGCTCAGGACTCAGAAAGGCCATTTGCTCAGGAGTGACAGCCACAGCCTGAGCACTGGTGAGACTAGATAGTTGGGTGGGACTAAACACCACCTGGGGGCAGGGGTAGGAATCAGTGCATGCCAGTTGGGCCCTGGCTCTCCTGTGGTCACCCCAGTCCATTAATACTTACAGCAAATTTAGGAGGAGGGATGACAGAAATGGCAAGAGGAGTAAGGCCCTGGATCTGTCCCTGCAGCAATGCTGAAAGAGCCAGGTCTGGGATCCCAGCTGTTGAAGCAAGTGGCATCCAAACATTGTCTTAGACTTACCTTCCTTCTCTTCAAACAGATAGACCTTCTCTAACTACTCCCAAAGTGCCCTACCGTAGACCTTCCCCAGTATGTCTCTAGCCCCTTATTTAAACACCCTCTCAGGTCCCCACTTTAAGAATTGCAGGGCAGTCTTCCATCCAGTCCACCCATGGTATAGAAACCAAACCAACTTGCACCAGCAGTAGCCCAGCTCCCCACCTGCTATGGTGCCAATTTCAGTGAAGATCTCAGGCCCCCAGTTACTGATTGGGCCAAAGCCACCAGGCAGTACAAGGAGGTGGGCCAGAACCTCCAGTTGTTCTTCAGAGCACTGGAGATGCAGGGTGCCCAGGAAGAGAGCTGCTTGGCTGTAGAACAGTGGGAAGGAAGGAAGAAGAATTCAGCTTCAGCGAAAGGGGCTGTGGTCATGAGACAAAGGAAGAGATGGCTTCAGATGAGTTCCCTTCCTCCATGGGACCAGACCTTCATGATCCTTCTTTCCCCCAGTAAGTCCACCTTTACCTCAGCACCACCACCCTCAGCCCCCTTCCAAGTGCAACTTCAGCCTACCCGCGTCCAGGACCTAACTCCCAACTGCTGATGTGCTGGAGCTCCTCTGGCCGCAGTCCACAGAGCGTATAACCCAGCGCTGTCAGATGAATGAAGTCCAGGTGGCTCACATGCCGACCACTCTGCCGTAGGAAACTGGAGACCACAACGCGGAGCTGGGGTGGGGGTTGGGGGCAGAGGGGAAGGAGAAAAGTTATGGAGAATGAATGGACAGGGAAGTGATAGGTGTTGCTGGGTTACACTCTGTTACTATTAAGACCTAAAGAGTCACGGGGAAGGCTGAGGACTCAGAAAAGAAAAGGATAGAAAAAGAAGAGGCCTCCAGGAAAAGAGGTAGGAGACAGTATTATGTGTTCAAGGCCTCAGAGTGAATAAATCAGAGTCCTGAAGGTCACTAATAGGGGGTATCAACAAAAGATAGAAAGAATGACCAGGTAGGGTCACAGGAAAAAATTCCTTGGGCTTTAGATGATCTACAGGGCTGGGTCTGTGGGATGGGTGTTTGGGAAGTGGTAGGGAGGAGGAAAGGTGTTACCTGAGTGGAGCTCCAGCCATCTATCTGCCCCAGGGTGCTCAGCACTCCCCAGTCCACTAGGATCAGCTCCTGTAGTTCCCGATCTCCTAGACCTATTAAGAGCCGACCAAGCTGCAGGATCTGCTCAGGATGAAATCCCCGGTGGGGACCCCACAACTAGGAGAAAGAGAGGAACAATGTGAGTGGAAAAGCAGTGGATTGGGAGTCAGAATGCTGGGTTTTAAGTCTTGCCTCTGCCCTTAGCTGTATAACTCTAGGCAAGTCACCTGCCTTTTCTTTAGTTTCCTCCACTGTCAAATGAGACAGTTGCCTTACAGTTCCTCTAACGTGTTTTGAAAGACAATGCAGGCCGGGCGCGGTGGCTCACGCCTGTAATCCCAGCTCTCAGGGAGGCAGAGGCGGGAGGATAGCTTGAGCCCAGGAGTTCAAGACCTGCCTGGGCAATATAGTGAGACCCCGTTTTCCACAAAAAGGGAGACAAAAAAAAGACAAAAAAAAAAAGCAAAAGACATTACAGTCAGTGGAAAAGAAGAGCAAACTAACTCTAGTCCATGAGTTCTACACTTCTTTGTGCATCAGACATAGAGACGCTTATTAAAACACAGATGCCTGAGGCCCAGCACAGTGGCTCACAGCTGTAATCCCAGCACTTTGGGAGGCTGAGGTGGGAGCCCAGGATTGCTTGAGCCCAGGAGTTCAAGACCATCCTGGGCAACATAGCGAAACCCCATCTCTACCAAAAATACAAAAATTAACCAGGTGTGGTGGTGTGCACCTGTAGTCCCAGCTACTTGAGAGGCTGAGGCAGGAGGATCATTTGAGCCCAGGATGTAGAGGTTACAGTGAGCCAAGATCACACCACTGCACTCCAGTGTGGGTGCTGGGTGACAGAGTGAGACTCTGTCTCAAAAAAAAAAAAAAAAAAAAAAAAAAAGCAGATGCAGATGTCTGGACTCTTTCCCCCAGAGGCTTATTTATTTACTTATGAGACTGGGTCTTGCTCTAACACTCAGGCTGGAGTGCAGTGGTGCGATCTCGGCTCATTGCATCCTCTACCTCCTGGGCTCAGGGGATTCTCCTACCCCAGCCTCCGGAGTAGCTGGGATTACAGGCATGCGCCACCACACCCAGCTAATTTTTTTTTCTATTTTTAGTACAGACAGGGTTTCACCATGTTGCCCAGTCTGGTCTCAAACTCCTGGGCTCAAGCAATCCACCTGCCTCAGCCTCCCAAAGTGCTGGGATTACAGGCATGAGCCACTGCGTCCAGCCTCCCCAAAGGTTTTTATTAAGTCAATCTAGCATGGTAATCTGGCACTGACATTGTTCCCGTGCTCGGTTCAACAGCACATACACAAAATAAATTGGAATGATACAGAGATCAGGATGGCGCCTGCGCAAGGATAACACACAAATTCATGAGGCATGCCATTATTTTTTAAGAAAGAAAAAAAAAAGAATAAAGGAAAAAATCTGTTCTCTTAATGATTGTGATACACATTAAAATTTGGTAACCACTGCTATATTCCCTCTATTCATTATACTAGCTCTCTTTCCTCAATATTTATTCCCCCTCACCTCCTACTTGTGACCCAAATCTTCTAACTCTTTTATCTCCTGCTTCCCCCACCTCTCATCCAACTCTCCATTCTCTTCTTCTCCTACATCACACTCAAAGAGCTTCCTCATGGCCGACCTTACTTGGCTCTCCATCACTAACCTGTTTTGCTTTCCCCATGCTGCCCACAATTCCTTGGGCCCAAGTCCTGCATCTCCTACAAATAGTGTCAGGCAGTCCTCAAAGTCTGAGAGGTTCATCTCTGCAATCTGGGTTGCAGACCAGGCTGCTGGGAATGTCCCTCGTACATCTGCACAATTTGGCACAGGTTCTGAAGGGGGAAGGCAGGGCCAGGAGGTATCTGTAGATGGAATGACTCTTCCAACCTTTGGAGGATGGAGCACTGTGGCAAGTAGGGATCGAGGGAATATTACAGAGTAAGATGAACAGGGCTTAGAAGTTAATAGAACAAAAAGTGATTGGAGATGCCAAGTCCCTTGTTTTATAGATGGAAGACTGAGGACGTTGGTCAGGGATTTAATGGCAGAGCTGAATTTGAACCCAGTTCTTGAGCCTCACAATGTCTCCTTCAAAGCTGCTAGGGATCTCCCCAGCAGAGAGCTCCACACTTAGCCGAGCTAGAGCTTTGTCAGCTGTTTAAAGAGACAAGAGAGCAGGAAAATGGAAGTTCTAGGCTAAAAGAAAACTTAATAGTTTACAAACTCCCAAAGCTATAGAATTCTAGAACTAGAAGAGATCTGAAGATCATCCCTCTAACCTCTTTGCTTTATAAATTAGAAAACCCAGTCCCAGAGAAGAGCACATGTAGAACCCAGACTGTTTGACACTCGCTGTACATCCTGCTGGACATATAAGTATTTGGGTAGTTTCACCTGGAAGATCCTCAGCAGCTGGTCGCACAACCCCTGCTACCAGGGCTGCTTTCTTGGCAGCCAGCTGTGGCCCCCTAAACAGCGGTCCAACTCTGCTCTGCTCCCAGCTCTGCTGCTTTTCTAGAAGCCGCTCCAGGGTCTCTGGACCCAAGGCCTCCTGCATGAGAAGGTAGAAGGAGAGTAGGGAGATCTGGACAGATCAGGGCCTGCTGCTGTAGCTGTAATTCCAAAGTCCGGTCTGTTTCGCAGTCTCCCCCTAGATCTAGGCTTCATATCCTTTGCCCTCTTTGGCCATGGGTCCCCATAACCAGCTCACCAGTCCCCTCTATGCATTTACTCCCTTCCTTTCTTCCTTCATCTCATCCTGGAGATCAAGGAAATTGCCTCAGTAGACAGAGTGAACACTAGGCGTCCAGCTTGCTCTACTTCATCCTGGCTCCACAACTCTGGTTTCCTGGGGACAGGAAGAAAATCAGGGGCTGGGGAGCTGAGAGAACTGTGAGGAAAAGGAAGGGGAAAAGAGAACATGCTAGGATTTGGGACACAGGGCTCCAAGGGACCTTAAGAATATAGAACAGGCTGCCACTGATGATGGTGGTTGAAGGATTGGGTACAGAATGAGTTAGAATCTGAAGTTCTCGAAGGTCCATACCCAAGAACAGACTCCTGCAATAGCAGCCATCCCAGCTCTGTGGCAAATGTCTCTCCTAGGCAGAAACCTTGCAGCTGACTGAGATGGGACAGCAGGATCTGTAGGGGGATCTGTCGTGTGCTCTCTATCCCCAGGAATCCAACCAAAGGGCCTAAGGTCTCCAGCACTTCCCCTGAGAGAGGAAGACTCCTTTGGAGTTGTAGCAGCTCTAATGGGAGCAGGGGAAGCAGGCAGTCTGGCCAGGTGGTGGGAATAGTCTGCTGGCAGCAATGGGTATAGCAGTGTAGTGATAGGTGAGAGTCTGGACTTGGCACTCAGAGAAAAGAAACCATGGGGGCGGAAAGGGACCAAAGCTGGGACAGAAGTGGAATGGCATTTGCCACTGTAGCAATAAACGCCTAAGAGCCTCACACTGCAGGCTGCTGTGGTCAGGTGTTGCTGCTAGTTAGGCACCAGGCGAACAAAGTCCCTTAGCTTCTCTGAGCCTTGGTCTTTTCAGCTGAAAGCAGGGTGGGTGGCCTGGAAGATTTCTCAGGCCCTCGCAGCTTTGACATTAGTCTAGGACAATGTGGGTAGATCATGCTGTCCTGCATCTGGAACTGGGGAGGGCTGCTAATGGGTACAGAGCTAACCAGAACTCTCAGGGCCACTGCAGGGTAGTGGGGGAGGCAGCACCAGCCATATGAAACTGCCCCAAAATGGGGAGAGGAGCTCAGCTGGGAGATCTCACACTTACCTGACCAGGGACACACACAGCTGGACCAGCACCTGTTGTACCCATATTTTTGACGCCATCTTTAACCTGCATGAGAATTGGGTGTGTGTGTGTGTGTATGTGTGTAAGTGGGGAGGTATGAAAGGCCTTCCCTGGCCTCAGGGAAGACGCCTTCCTCCCAACCAGAGAGAGCTCGTATCCCTGATTGTCTCATCCTCCTTGCTACTCTTATACCCGAAAGGTCTGCAGCAGTGCTGCGGTCTGGCAGGCTGAGAGGCGTGACAGTTCAGGGGCCAGGCAGGAACAAGCCCCAACCAGGACTCGCCTGGGGATGGTCTGGAGTGTCTGGGGGCTGAGGCCAGGCAGCAGAAGATGCAAGGAGCAGAGTTCCTCCAGGGATAGCTAAGGAGCAAGAGAAACAAGAGGCCTGAAGAGGAAGGGAAGGGTGGTGGGGAACACAACAATCACAATGCAGCAAGGCAATAAGTATGAGGGGAGTGGAGAGAGAGGAGGGGCAGATGCAGAAGCCAGGGGAAAGGGGGATAGAGACCTCTGGAGAGAGGCTGAGGTTGCAGCTACTCACATCGTGCCTAGGAAGGAGCCGTCCAAGCAGCAGGACAGCCTGTGTTGGGATGGGACCAAAACCAACAGCTCTCAGGACCCAGCAGCCAGGTCCTAAGTGGGTTCCTAAGGCAAACCCTCCAAAACTTCCCACTCCCTCTTAAACATCCCCAGTAACCATCTTCAGTGACTCAGGTCCCTTCTTGATCTGAGGAAAGGGAATGAAGGTGTCCTCGTGTGGACAGAGTTTACGTCTATTGTTCACCCAGAGAAAGGAGGGGCTGGTTTTATCCCTGAATGGGATTCTCTTGACAGGGCTCAAGCATGGATGGAGGGTGCATGCCAGGGAGTGAGAGAGGCAAACCTGAGCAAGTGTAACACTAGCTCCCTGAGGGCAGGAAGCATGGCTCTAAGCTGGGGCTCTGACAGCTCCTGCAGGAAGCGGAGGCCCAGCTGAGGGAAGAGAGGGGCCCAGACCTGCAGCTCCCGGGGGCTCAGCACCGCACCTCCAGATGAGCGCAACACCCCCAGAAGTTCATATGCCACCTGTAACCAAAGAAGGTTTAGGACTGGAGAGAAAAGACAGATGAACCTTGAACTTCCTCTCTAATCCCACATCTGAATTTCCCAGGGCTTGGGCTAGGGTTTGGAACTAGGGATTGGACTGGAGTAGATTAGGTTCAAAATGGCAAAGGGTGTGTTTGGGGTGCCACAGACCAGATAGGGAAGGGCCAGGAAGAGGTGGTAACAGGTAAGAATGGCCATGGAGTAAGGAATGGAGGTTGCAAAAGTGGGATGGGGGGCTGGCACCACTATGCTCAAGTTGACACAATGGGAAAGCCATCCACACAGACCCAGGGGAAGCCTAGAGTCTTCTAGGCTTGTGCTGAGGGGCTCACCCATCCTTCCGGGCTGAGGGTCCCGTTGGCTGCACATTCCAGCAGCCCCCGTTCTACCGGCCCCATCGGATCACTCAGGGGCACTAGGCTCTGCAGCTCCTCAGGGCTCAGGAAACAGGCGAGGGGCCCAAGCCTGAGGAGGGCATGAAGCTGACCTTTGTGTGGTCCCTGAGGCTAGCACTAAGCAGGCCTGGCAGCAGACCGTGTGGGTAAATACACTGGGCACTCTGACCACTACACCACTACACAGGGGCACCATCTATAGACCTCTCCTGGAACTCTGTGCTGCCTGGGGCCACTGCCTACTCCCTTGCCCCTTCCTTCCTAGAACACCTACCCACCATGACACCTGTACCTTCCTCTCTCTACCTCTTCCACTCTGGCCTTGGTTACTGATCCCACAACTCACCTGCGTACCTGCTCCTCACCATCCTGGACACTCTGGTTTACCAGGCTGGGCAGCATATGGCGGGCATGCCCGGGCCCCAGACCTGCTGCTGGCCAGCTATCCTCCAGGGCTTGGATCTGAGATGGGGAAGGTTAGCTCACACTGGGGTCACTGTGGGGTTCTTGCAGGGAGGGGCCACTGAGAGACATGCCATTGACTCTCGTCCCCACTAGCAGAAGATGGGCCAGTCAAATAAAGAAGATGATTCTCATACCTGGTGAGGGCTGAGCTGCAGAAAGTTCTCCAGAGGGAGGTGGGGGAGGAGGGGCAGCACTGCCCACAGCAGCTCCTGGGGCCAGGCAGGCACTTCCCCAAACAGTTCAGGGGCCAGCAGACGCTTTGCCAGAGCCTCCTTCTGTTCAGGCCTCATTCCTGGGCTGTAATCCCGGATGGCAGCCAGGCTACGAGGAGTAATGGGTCTTAACCCTTTGTCTTCTTCCAAACTGTTTTCCCCTGACCCTCTGTAGTCCTGCTGTCTAGATAGGAAGGAGACTCTCCCTGTCTTTGTTTTGTTTTTTTGTTAAGATGGAGTCTCGCTCTGTTGCCCAGGCTGGAGTGCAGTGGCGCGATCTTGGCTCACTGCAACCTCTGCCTCCCAGGTTCAAGTTATCTTCCTGCCTCAGCCTCCCAAGTAGCTGGGACTACAGGCGCCCACCACCAAGCCTGGCTAATTTTTGTATTTTAGTAGAGACAAGGTTTCACCACATTGGCCAGAGAACTCCTGAACTAGTGATCTGCCTGCCTCGGCCTCCCAAAGTGCTGGGATTACAGGTGTGAGCCACCACGCCCGGCCTCTCCCTGGTTTTATAGAGAGGACCTCTCTGATCCTTTTGTAGTTCATTAGCATCATGACTGGGTTTTCACACTCAGGTATGAGATGCGCCTCTCTCAAACCTTGTTACGATGTTGGCACATTACCTATCTGGCATGAAAGAAAAAAACAGGAGCTCCGGAAGGAGCTGCTCCAGCTGGATGGGGTTGGCCTGACCCTGACAGGAGCAGGAGGAGTGGTACAGGAACCTTACACACTGTCGTTGACTAACAGGGATGGTGGGAAGCGCATCAGGTCAGAGACAGCCAAGAAAGGGATGAGTGGTGACAGGTCAATGAAGAGCTGGGAGGTGAGGCGCGGGTACCGCTGGATCAGCAGGGCTGTCAGGCGACCCAGGGCCTGCTCCTCGGATGGTGGTACCTGTGGGGACACAGGAATGGATTCTGCCTCTGGAGATGCTCAGTATCCCTGTCACTTCCTCTCTGGAGTTCCTCCTCCCACTAAGGCAAGCCCTCTGAACACTAGGCTCCAGGTGCCCTTGCTCCCCTCTTTCTCTATGCTCACCTGCAGCTTCCCCTGCAGCATGAGTGTCAGGAAGCCCTGTGCAGCCTCCCTCTCTGCTGAAAGCACCAGCTGCTGGAGGTTTTCTGGGGGCATATGCAGGTATGCCTGTGAATAGGAGGTCATGGTGGGTATGGCCTCACAGGGCAGGGACCTCTGGCCCGGTTGTCACCCAGCCCACCCATGGGCCCTCCACCTGTTACCTGCACTAGAATCTGCAGGGCCCAAACACTCTTTTCCCTCTGGAGCAGATCCCACAGCAAGGGCTGGTGGGAAGAAAGACAATATGCCAACAGAGCTGTCTTCTCTGTCTCTCCTGCAGCTCCCCCAGGCTTTCCAACTCCACTTGCTGGGATGCTCGTCCTTCATCTCAACTGTGATTCTTCAGATATTAAGCTCTTTTAGGTCCAGGATCATATCTCTAATTTCTCTTGTACCCTCTCCCATGCCAGGTCCATAGTTGGATCAATTAATACTTGCAGACCTGAACCAAATACTATGAGACTATCTAATTCCATTTTACTGGGCCCAGGGCTTGAAAAATGGAGCCCCAAAATGGAGTAAGGAATCTTTATATATCCTACAGAACCTAGCAAAGTGCCTTGCATATAATAGGCATTCAGTGAATGAATTATGGTGTTTAACATATTCCCACCCCTCCATTCTACAGAGTAAAAACTGAAGCCCAGAAAAACTAAATGAAATTGCTTGCCTAAGATCACACTAATTTGTGGCACAGTTGAACCTAGAACCAAAGTTTTCTGATTGGTAGTGTCCCTGAATCTTTCTCATTCCTGCCTTATCTTCCTGTATTCTGCCAGCCTCCAATTCTCAATCTCTAGGAAAAAAATCAAGAGTCCTCTAACTTGATCCTTTTTCTTTCTGGTGCAGAAAGCAAAGAGCCTAAAAGAATAACAAGGTAATATTTATTGCACGCTTGTGTATCATGCACTGTGCTAAGCCCACAGCATGTATTATCTCATATACCAGTATCATCCCTAGTTTATAAATGAGACGAGAAAAATATTGCTCAGAGAAGTTAAATAACTCATTCAAGGCTGGTCACAGAACCAAGATATAAATCCAAGCCTGTCTGACTCTAGAGCTGTGTGCTTCAACTACTACCCCACACTACTGCCTCTGAGTACACGAGGAATTCCCCTGGAGGGCCTTCTCACTGTTCTAGGAGCTTTCCCTCTGGCAGAGCACTCACACTAAAGCAGGCCAGCAGTTCCATCTTGCTTATACCAGAGCTGGGGTTGACAGTGGGTTCCAAGCCTGGTGGGGTTGGCTGCTCCTCCTCTTGTTCCAGGTATTCCCCAATTGTCCGTAGCACACTGCGCCGGCCCTCTGGGCGAAAGGCATCCCAGAAGGAGCAGTTGTCTGGGAGACTGGAGAGCAGTAGGGCCCGACCCAGCATCCCCTGGGCCTCAGCGCCCCCAGTCCCTGGACCCAAGAGGAAGGTCAGCAGGCGGAGGAGATAGTGTAGGCGTGTGGGGTGAGCAATGGCTGGCACAGAGGACTGACAGCATGGCAACTGGGATAGCATGCCAAGGAGGAAGGGGCCAGGGGTCAGACAGAGTGGGGATGGTCCCAGTGGTGGCAGAGAGGGCAGAAGGGGGCCCAGCAGCCCTTCTAGGAAGCAAGTGTCATTGCCCCCACGACTTGTCCGGCACTGGCCTGCTAGCCAAGGCCAGAAGGGCACCAGGGCCTCATACATGGTGTCATTGGCACAGACCATCACCAGGAAGCTGCCCCCATCTGGGCAGCATTCCCCACAGGGTCCAATGTGGCAGGGTGGGAAAGCAGTGACATCTGGGGAGGGGCCCTGGCACACATGCTGGACCCAAGCCTGGTTGCTGGGGGGCACAGCCTGTAGACTTGCCTCCCCACACAGTCGCTCAGCCCACAGAGTCTCGTTCTCCAAGAAGCAGCCCCAAAAGATGTCTGGGGTGAGCGGAACAGGGGGCAGGCCTTCAGGGCAGCTGGTAGGGGGTGGGAGCAGGCCAGCACAGAGCCGCTTCACCAGGCGGCGGTTGGAGCCAGACAGGGCTGAAAAGGAGAGGTTACTACAGATCGCATTCAAAAACTCATCAGGAAACTGGTCATGACAGGCCTGTAGCCAGCCTTGGGCACCTGGTGCCCATGAGACTGCATACCACACAGCGGTCTGGCAGATGGCAGCGGTGCTGGGAGGGGGCTGTGGAGTGACAGGCTTGGTGTGTTGGCAGAGCAAGTGGATGGAGAAGTTGGAAATGCTGTAGGGTGGTGCTGGGCCTGAGTGGTTCTCACAGAGGGCCTCCACAGTGATGGCTCGCCGTTGGCGTGGGCTGATGTGGGCTGAGGGCTGAGGAGCTCTGGGCAGAGGCACACCTGCGCTCAGGCAGTGAAGGAGGGCAGGGGGTGGGGGTGGTGATCCAGACAGAAAGCCCAGCGCCTGGACATCCCAGGAAAGGTTGTGCCGGACGCCCCTGGGTGCAGAGGGAGGAGCAGGCAGGATCTGGTCAGTTCACATTTCCTCTGGCTGAAGATTCTGACCCTGACCCAGAGCCCTCAAGGGGCATGGCAAGCATAGGCTTTTCTACAAGTGAGGTCCCTGAGAGTTTAGGCATTACTGGTTGAAATGCTGCGACAGGGCAAAAAGGAGAGAGCTGCCCGCCAAGCTCCAAAATCACCTAGGAGAAGCCCCAGTTGGAATGCTTTCTGTCCACCTGGCTCCCTTCTGTTTCCTTTCTTCATATGCTTTCAGATAGCTTACACACAACCCTCAGTGGGCCTCCCGTTAAGAAATCTGCTCAGCAACTCAATATGTCTAACTATGCTCTGGCACTGTCGTACTGAAGTAGGAAGAGGGTAGAGGAATCCAGCTGTGTCCTTATTTTCCAAATCCCATCTTTACTAGCTAACATTATTAAGCACTATGTGCCAGCACTGTTTTAAGTTGTTTGCACACACAGTATCAACTCATTTAATGGGGTGCAACAACTCTGTGGTAACTAATATTATCATTCTCATTTTATAAATGGGGAAACTGAGGTATAGAAAGATTATGTAACCTGCCCAGGGTCATATGGCTAGGAAGACGTGGAGCTGGGACACCAACCCAGACAGTCACACTCCAAAACCACTAAACCACACTCCTCCCATCAGTTTTCCTCTCTAGAGGCTGATGTCATCAGCTCTCCACCTCTAGATTTTCCAGGCCCAATCCCTCAGAACTGGTCCCCTCTTACTTACCATAAGAGCAGCTGTTGAAGGTTACCTAGGAGGGAAGGAGTAAGGAAGAGAACTACTCCAATTTCACTTTCCTTGCCCTGCCACATCCCAGCCCCAGCCCTGGCCACACTCACCTCCCTGGCACTGCCCATTGGCATCAGGCTCTGGCTGCCCCAGAATGGAAAAGACCTCATCCTGCAGGGAGTGAGTGACACGGAGCAGCCCCTCCTGAAAGGCAGCATAGAGGGGGGCCCCCACTGTGCGTAGCAGACCGCCCCAAAGCGCCTCCTCGGACCCTAGCTCCCCTGTTGGGGTAAGCAAACCCAACAGACCCTGCAAAAAGTGAGGAGCTGCCTCCCTCCCATCGAGGCCTGTGGCATTGGTGGGATCCACACTGGGCTGCACCTGCACCAGAGCTTGCCAGCGTGTGCCCTCTAACAACAGCAGCAGAGAAGGCAACCAGTCAGCAGCCAGGACACAGTCAGAGGGCCCATTACGGGTGCATGGGGGCCGAGTTGGGGTAGGGGGGCCCCCAGGAACTAAGGCTCCCAGCAGCACCTCCACAAGTCCACCCAGCACCCCTGCCTGGTGCACCAGGAAATCTCGGGGAGTCTGCTCCTGTCCCAGCAGTGCCAGCAGATCCCCCAGCAGCCCTAGCATTGGCTCCCAGTCGGGGCTGCCTGTCAGTGTCACTAAAAAATCATGGAGCTGGAACGCAGGTGGCTGGAGAGGTGGGGGCTCTCCTACTGGTCCTTCCCCCATTCTCCCAGGCTCAAAGGAAGAAGAAATGTTGGCCAGGAATGTAGAGAACCGTGAGTGGCTCAGGGAGCCCTGGGAAGCCTGGTCCAGAGTGGAGAGCAATGACTTCAGGAAGGAGAGACCAGGGTCCGGGGACTGAGGCCCATAGGGGCCAGAGTCACTGTAAGGAGAGAAACCAGAGGTTACTAAAGGGGAGGTAGAGCCCAAACTCAACACTGCCTCTGAGCACAGTTTTCTACCTGGATCTAAAGATGAGGTGAGGGGATAGTCAGCTGAACCCCTTTCATTGGCCCATAGTAAGTCTTGGCCTGCTTTTCTTAGCCTTCATTTTTTCCTTTTGCATAAGTCTCTGCCTCTCTCCTTTGTCCTTCTATCTAACAGGTTAACCTCCACATTCTTAAAATCTTTTTCCAGCCACCCTCCTCCTCATCCCCAGTTCTGTTCACTGTTCTTCTCACCTGCAAAGGACAGCAGCAGCAGCAGTAGCAGCAGGGGCCAGAGGCTCAGAGCCATGTTTCCAGGTGAACACTGGTACCGGAGGGGAGTTCTGGTTAATCTCAACTGTGTGGGATAGCCAGGTGAGGGCAGGGCACTGCAGGCAGCCTGAGGCTCCACTGACACTGTAGTGTGGTCTTTCAGGAAACAATATCTGTAACCTGACAGCAGGTTTGTTACCTGAGCCACTGAATATCTGATCCTTTGGCTCTGGAGAAGGGTATGCTTCTGTGAGAGGAACCAATGATAGGGGATCCCAGGGGCCCCTCAGAGGAACCCAAGGAGATTGCTTGAGTTAGGAGCCCCTGATGCAGAAAGGAATAGGCAGACATGGAGATGGAGAACTGGAGAACAGGTGTGTAAGGGTGTAATCTGGGGTTCTGCAGAAACATAGAAAACAAAGAGGATAGAAAGGAGCTAAGAAGCAAGTAGGATTTGAAGAAATTGAGGAAGAAAGGATGCCCAGGAGCAAGAAACTGGGCAGCAAGATATAAATAGATGAGAAATGAAGACAGAGGTCTGGTCCAAGGATGGAGAATTCAGGAAGAGGAAAGCTGCTTTCGACTCACTATCCAGAACCACAGAGTGTCAAGAGCTGAGCAGCACCCCAGAGATCACATAGACCAAACTTTTCAACTTATGGATAAGGAAGCAGACCCAGAGAAATGTGATTTATTTATTAGGCCATTCAAATGTTTGGGTCTTCCCTTCCCCTCTGGGATGCCCTATTATTTGGTTCTTTCTCTGTGGTCTAGGTGAAAGCCCTCTCAAAAACTCTGAGCCAGGAGAGAAACCAGATTCAATCACTACGCACAGGGACTGATCTCCCTACACACAGAACTGCTCATGGAACAGAGAGAGAAAGAGATGTCATTCAAAATAATCTGGTCTGGTCAGGGTTAGAAGTCTTTTTTGTTGTTTTCGTGTTTTTTTTTTGGGGGGGGGGTTTGATTTTGTTTTTTTTGAGATGGAATCTCTCTCTGTTGCCCAGGCTGGAGTACAGTAGGGCTATCTCACCACTGCAACCTCTACCTTCCAAGTTCAAGCGATTTTCCTGCCTCAGCCTCCTGAGTAGCTGGAATTACAGGCATGCGCCACCACGCCCAGCTAATTTCCGTATTTTAGTAGAGATGGGGTTTCACCATGTTGGCCAGGCAGGTCTTGAACCCCTGACCTCAAGTGATTCGTCCACCTCAGCCTCCCAAAGTGCTGAGATTACAGGCTTAAGCCACTGCCACAGGCCAGGGTTAGAAGTCTTTTCCATTCTCCATTTATATTTTCCCAAAGGCCTTCACTTTACACCAACTCTAAATAGCAATTCAACTGAAGCTATACCCAAACTTTTATTCTGTCTTTCTTTCCCTAGAACCCTTCCCCATTCTCTCCCTCAAATCCACACATGGAACTTCATTATTAATGTGCTTCTGACCTAGAAGATTCACTTAGGATCACGGAATTTTACTTTTATGTATTTATTTAGAGACAGGGTGTTGGTCTGTGGCCCAGGCTGGAATACTCTGTATGATCCTAGCTCACTGCACCCTCGAACTCCTGGACTCAAGCAGTCCTCCTGCCTCGGCCTCCCAGGATCACAGAAGAGACCTGAGGAATCTTCAGGTAAGAACTTCTCATTTTATAGACAGGGGAATTGAAGCCCAAAGAAATGGAATGACTTAACCTGGGTCACAAAGACAGCTGGGAGCAATGATGGGATTTTCCAAGGCAAATCAAAAGTTGAGATGCGTGAAATGACCTGTTGTGTAATTTTACCAACATTCCCTTTGCCCATCAAGGATACCACATCTAGTCTAAAAAGCAGACAGATGAATCTGAGGGAGAATATGACCCGAGTTCCCAACAGCTTTCCGGTTCCAGCACATCCTGTAATCCTTCTGAATTTCTGCCCTTCATTCTGTAACAACCCTCTTATAATAAATTCTCCTTTTTTCGTCATAGGGTAGCAAAAAATGAGATGGTCTAGGTTCAAACCCTGGTTCCAGCATTTACTAGCTGTGTGTCCTGGGGCAGCTTCTAAATCTCTGTTTTTGGTTTTTTGTTGTTGTGGTTGTTGTTGCTGTTGTTGTTTTTACTGTAAAAAGGAAAAAATCCTAGTGTAGAGTTTTTGTGAGGATTAAATTAGATAATGCATTTAAAGTGCTTAGTGCAATGTCTAGCATTCATTCAACAAAGATTAAGCACTTATTACGTGCCAGACACTGGTACAGAATAAACATTCACTCAATGTTACTATTACTTTATTAGAATAGCTCAAGATGATTTTTTCTACTTGAAACTAAAGGAGTTCTAATGAAGACATAAATGATTATCTGGAAGTTGTATCTTGAGTGAAAGAGCTTCAGAACAAATATGGAACTAGTTGAGTCAACCAGAGAGAGAAACAATGAGGATTCCCTCAACTCAGCATGGAAAATTTCCTGGCAGTCCATGTTCTGCTGTTGTAAGCCGTTGATTAAGCAATTCTCTTGCTGCTAAGGATTCAGACTATGTGCAAACTGAGGGCGAAGTGCTTAGGGTTTATGGCAAATATACCAGGCTATTTGAGTGTATTGGTTATTGCTTATAATTTGATAAAGTTCAACAAGAGCGAGACAAGTTCCAACCTACAGATGACCAAATGGAAACAGAGAACAACCAGCAAATTTAAATTACAAGGGTCCAGAACAAGAAATTAATCATACGTCCTGCTAAAATGAAATGGATAAGACTGGTGATAACTAGAACACTCTGTGATTTGCCAGTTAGAATGGATATACCTGGGAAGAGCCACAGGAGTTGAGAACTCTGAAACATCCTCACTCCCCAAAACTCCCACAGGGCACTCTCTGCCTGACAAGAACAGATGCCTGCCTAGCCGGTCGCGGTGGCTCATGCTTGTAATCCCAGCACTTTGGGAGGCCAAGGCGGGCGGATCATGAGGTCAAGAGATTGAGACCATCTTGGCCAACATAGTGAAACCCTGTCTCTACTAAAAAATACAAAAAAATCAGCTGGGCGTGGTGGCATGTGCCTGTAGTCCCAGCTACTTGGGAGGCTGAGGCAGGAGAATCGCTTGAAACTGGTAGGCGGAGGTTGCAGTGAGCCGAGATCGCACCACTGCACTCCAGCCTGGGAAACAAGAGTGAAACTCTGTCTCAAAAAACAAAAAAAAAAGAAAAAAAAACCCAGATGCCTTTTTTTTTTTTTTTTTTTTTTTTTTTTGAGACGGAGTCTCGCTCTGTCTCCCAGGCTGGAGTGCAGTGGCCGGATCTCAGCTCACTGCAAGCTCCGCCTCCCGGGTCCACACCATTCTCCTGCCTCAGCCTCCCGAGTAGCTGGGACTACAGGTACCCGCCACCTCGCCCGGCTAGTTTTTTTTTGTATTTTTTAGCAGAGACGGGGTTTCACCGTGTTAGCCAGGATGGTCTCGATCTCCTGACCTCATGATCCACCCGTCTCGGCCTCCCAAAGTGCTGGGATTACAGGCTTGAGCCACCGCGCCCGGCCTTTTTTTTTTTTTTTTTTTTTAACTGAGTCTCACTCTGTCACCCAGGCCGCAGTGCAGTGGTGTCATCTCAGCTCACTGCAAACTCCATCTCCCGGGTTCAAGCAATTCTCATGCTTCAGCCTCCTGAGTAGCTGGGATTATTGGTGTGCACCACCATGCGCAACTGCTTGTTTTGTATTTTTAGTAGAGACAGGGTTTCGCCACATTGCCCAGGCTGGTCTCAAACTCCTGGGCTCAGGCAATTTGCCTGCCTCGGCCTCCCAAGTGCTAGGATTACAGGCGTGAGCCACTGTACCCAGCCAGATGCCTCCCTTTGTAAAGTACAATTATTTTTCTCTTTTTTTGTTTTGGCTTTTGTAACTGAAATATTAATTGCTTACTAGATATCTAGGTGTTCCTCACATTTCCCAGATCTCTTGCAGTTAGGTGGGCTCAGGTGATTAGTTCTGTTCAATGGACTGTGGTTGACCAAAGAATTTAAGAGCTAGCAAATGAGCCTCCAACAATCTCTTCGCTGTTGAGGCAACCTAGAAACTACATGTTGAGATGGCAGTGTCACAAGGTCAAAATAGCCCGAGGCTCCAAACTACCACAGCATTTACAGTCAGTCTTCGACACTTGTGAGTTCTGTATTAGTGGATTTGCCTAGTCACTAAATGTGTTTGTAACCCAAAATCAATACCTACAGTGCTACTGAGGTCATTCACAGACTTGTATTGAGAGGTGACAAGTTTGAGTCACCTGATACACATGTTCCCAGCTAAGGTGGAACAAGGCAGTGCTCTGCCTTCTTGTTGCAGCTCTCATGGTGTAAATATTAGTAAGTGTCTTTTTTTTTTGAGAAGGAGTCTTGCTGTGTCACCAGGCGGGAGTGCAGTGGCGATCTCAGCTCACTGCAACCTCTGGCCCCCTTGTTCAAGTGATTCTCCTCCCTCAGCCTCCCGAGTAGCTGGGATTACAGACACGTGCCACCACCCCAGCTATTTTTTGTATTTTTAGTAGAGTCAGGGTTTCACCATGTTGGCCAGGATGGTATCAATCTCCTGACCTCGTGTTCTGCCCGCCTCAGCCTCCCAAAGTGCTGGGATTACAGGGGTTAGCCACCGTGCCCAGCCAGTGTCTTTTTTAAGGTCTATCTAGTGATGCACCTTTTGTGTTGTGGGGCTATTTGTTGGTGATTTCAATGTTTAAAACGGCTCTTAAGCTTAATGCCAAAGTGTTGTGTGGTGGTTTTAGAACAAGAAGGCTGTAATGTGCCTTATAGAGAAAATGTACGCTAGAAAAGCTTCTTTCAGGTTGGGCAACGGTTTCCACCGGCCTGACATGGCAAAAAAACCCATCTCTACTAAAAATACAGAAATTAGCCAGGCGTGGTGGTGTGTGACTGTAGTCGCGGTTACTTGAGGCACGAGAATCGCTTAAACTCAGGAGGCGGAGGTTGTAATGAGCAGAGACTGTGCCACTGCACTACAGCTTGGGCGACAGAGTGATACTCCATCTCGAAACGTCAGGAGACAAGACTAATTTGAGTAATAATAATAAAACTCCAGTCTCCTGCACAGCCAGCTCTGTGTGGCAAAAAGAAAGAAAGAGAGAAGGGGCAGGGGAGACAGGCAGAGGCAGAGGCAGGAAGGAAAGGAGGGAAAGTAACAAGGAAGAAAAGAAAAAAAGAAGGAAAAGTGAAGAAAAGAAAAAAAAAAGTCAGGAGGGTACATCTGTGTAGTGTTGGGGGAAAAAGGGAAGGAGGGAATATTCATCAAATACCTATAAAGGAGGGCCTTTGAATCTTT